AATCTGACAAGGCTTAACGAAAATTGTTCAAACTTGGTCAGTAATTTGTGCAAATGTTTCTTAATCAAATAAAATAAATGAAATATTTTTATCTAGCCTAACCGTTCTACTTGATGGACACCAAATTTGATGTTTTTTAAATCAAAAACATATATTTATGAAAAACGAAGAGAAAAAGTATTTAAAAATATTTTTTAAATGTATGATGTCCATAAAATAATAAACTTATTTGACATTGGATTAAAGTAATTTTTCCAAAATAAAAAAACGTGCTGGAAATTAATATTTCTGGAATCCACCAACATCTACAAGAGCTGAACGTTACTTTTCAATCTCCAATAATATTGTCTCAAAAAATCGCACTAGATTGCTAGACCAGTTAAAATCGTACTTTAAGAATTGTTCTAAAACCAAAAAGAATTAAATTTCGAACGGAAATTATTGTCAAAAGAATCAATTTGACAATCAAATCAAATAGAATTTAAATTTGATTTGAAAACCTAAATAAAAAGCTTTTAAAATTTTGAATTATTACTATATATTTTTGATAATTTTCGAGCTGAATACACCCTTAATTAACGCAAAAATGTGAAATCACAATCAGTCAAAAAAGATCAAATTTCTCAGCAACCTTTGACTTTCAATTTTCTCACAATTTTCTTCAGTTTAATTCTTTAAAGACGTGTTTTTAAATATTTTTGCGAATCGGTGCAAATAAATTGGAACTTGACATTATTAATGCTTAAAAAGAAGTGGAGTTCAAGATAAAAGTGATAGTGAAGTGCTAAAATGGAAGCAATAGTGAAAATAAGCCAAAAGTGATGAAAAAATTAAAAGTGAAGAAGAAAATGAAAAATTTTCTGAGTGAACATTGAAAGTTAAGAAAATTAAATTCAAGAAGCTGTAAAATTGAAGTGAAAATGAGATTGATGAAGCTTGAAGGAACCAGGACACAATTAAAGAAGCAAGAGGCTAGTGACAACGAAGAAAAAGCTAAGTATACTAATAAATAGTCCTCAAATTCCTTTTCTTTAATGAAACCAGCTATTTGACTTCCTACAATTGCGTACGTAATGCTTGCAATACGTGAAATGATTACTTAAAAACGCATTGCATTGAGTTTTACATTTCGTCGGCCTTTGTTGATGTAAATTAAGAGTGGGAGTCGTTGAATAGGTCAGAGGGGGGTCGATGCAAGATAAGGAGGGGTAAAACTTGAGGGAGCAAAGTCTTTTGACCCTTTTTTTAAAAAGTTTTTCTGTTCTTTTTTTTTTTTTTTTTGTAAATCGAGCCTATGAGTCATGTGTTTCTGCCTGTGAGACTTACTATCGTGGCTATTGATTGGTTCATCCTTGATGTAGAGTGGCATCAAGGACATTGATTGCTTGCTCGTAAATGAGACTTGCAATTTTTTGTCTAGTTGCCTGTTCTCACTCACAGCATTAGACTTACATCAGGTCCAATGACGTATCGTGTAGTTTAATGTGAAAAATGAGCCTCTGATGATTTGGGTTGTAATCAATAGAAGCTTAATTACAAGCGTCTAACCCTAACCCTAAATTGTGGTTCTTTTTCATGCTCAGGTGTGTGGTAAAGAACGTTTTTGCCTCTATCTCGGACTGTTCTGATTCAAAGCCTGAAATGTGAGCAGTAATGGAATGAAAACACGATTGATTCATTTCCTTGGTTGAAATTAAACTTGATATGATTAACTATGAAAGAAGAACCATCAAAAAATTTGCTTTCTCAGTTTAATCCCTCCTTTATCATGCATCAGCTTCTCTCTTACCTGTCCATCGACTTCCATCTTTAACTTACATCGAGAAAGAGCGAACGGAACATAGTACTTAATGTTATGTGATTTTACTTAATCATTTTACGTAACGTAGGCTTTACGTGAGCCTTTTTGAAAGTTTTTCTGACTAATTTCCAACAGAGAAAGTGAATTTGATATCATGAAACTTTAATTTAAACAGCAAATCTTAATTAAGAATTAAATTTATTTTTATTTTACTAATTCGTTTTTAAAATTGCCATATATTTTAGGTTCTTTAAGGATCAGCACTTATAGCCATCATAAAACATTTCATATGTTGTGTTATTTTCTTCACATTTGAACAATTACTCATCGTTCACACACAAGTAAGCACATAGTATGAATATTTGATACAAATTGGATTTGTATAGACTTTTTTAACTGACAAACCACAGAAGAATTGTCTTAACGATTTCTTATTGTCTTGACGATGTCTTATTGTCTTGACGATGTCTTATTGTCTTGACGATGGTCAATCATAGGGGTTCTAAAATCGGGAATATTCCCGAAATTCCCGTTTTCATACCAAAAAAAAAACCGACAATTCAAATTAGTTTTTTTTTATTTTGTATTTTCCATGAAAAAAACTACAATTTAAAGAAAAAAATTATAATAATGAAAACATACGTTAAGGAATTTAAGAGTTGAAATATTAAACTCAAATTTGAGTGTCCATCAAGTAGAACGGTGACCTAACGAATTGAGTGATGGACTATATATGGGTTTTTTGTGCTATTTTGTGAAAGCAGAAAAATAACTTTTTAAAATTTTGTGAAGTTGCCAGTTCTGAGATATGAGCATCTGAAAACGGAGCTAGGGCCGATTTTTTTTACTTTTAACACTTTCGACTGTAAATCTGACAAGGCTTAACGAAAATTGTTCAAACTTGGTCAGTAATTTGTGCAAATGTTTCTTAATCAAATAAAATAAATGAAATATTTTTATCTAGCCTAACCGTTCTACTTGATGGACACCAAATTTGATGTTTTTTAAATCAAAAACATATATTTATGAAAAACGAAGAGAAAAAGTATTTAAAAATATTTTTTAAATGTATGATGTCCATAAAATAATAAACTTATTTGACATTGGATTAAAGTAATTTTTCCAAAATAAAAAAACGTGCTGGAAATTAATATTTCTGGAATCCACCAACATCTACAAGAGCTGAACGTAACTTTTCAATCTCCAATAATATTGTCTCAAAAAATCGCACTAGATTGCTAGACCAGTTAAAATCGTACTTTAAGAATTGTTCTAAAACCAAAAAGAATTAAATTTCAAACGGAAATTATTGTCAAAAGAATCAATTTGACAATCAAATCAAATAGAATTTAAATTTGATTTAAAAACCTAAAGAAAATACATGGTGTAAGTGTAGCTTTTAACTTTTTTTTTTGTTGATTCCCGGGAATATTCCCGTTCCCGTTCCCGATTCCCGAAATCTTACGGGAACGGGAATTCTGGAACCCCTACTTTTAATAGAAGTTAAAATTCTAGGGTTCGAAAAATTGACATGTGCATGCATTCACATGCAAAAACATGCGCATGTATGTATGTAATAATGATTATTTGGACACTTTTGATCGATTTGACACCAAATCTTGTGAGTAGGAGGTCAAATTAGAGCTGTTCTGATGTCGGAACCTGTCTTTTTAAGCAGTTTTAAAGCGAATTTTACATTTTTATCATATTTATTATGAAATTTTTGATAAATATGATAAAAGGAATAAAATTAAATAAAACAATTATTATATTCACACCGTTTTCACGTGTGAATCTATTGGTTTTGTTCAGATTGAAAAATCAGTTTTTCGCATTTTGTGAGAAAACAAAGCAAAATTAGTTATAAAAGGGCAAGAAGAAAAGTTTGTGCCTGAAATTTTACATCATTTTCAGATCAAAACAGATTTCAAATTGGTTGTGGCATTGCTGAGAAAATCGCAAAATACGCTTTCTGTAAGCAAACAAGCAAGCAAGCAAGCAAGTTAATCAGCAAGAAATCTCAATAACGAGACATCGTAGAGACTTCTAGTTTTTTACATTTGATCCGTGCTGCTCTATAGAAGAGCTGTATTGTTTTTGGGCAAGGTAGGAACAGCCGTTGCTTCAGAAATGGCAAAAAACTTTCCTTTCTTACGAATTTTTTAAAACAAAAGTTGACTGTGATTTTTATAAAATTCAACTTTGGATGAAAATTTTTTTTAAAAAACTTTTAAAGAATATTTGGCATATTCGTCAAGCTTTATACCTTCAAACTTATGCTGAGCGTAGCTCAGCTGACTCGATAGCTTTATATCTTCAAACTTATGCTGAGCGTAGCTCAGCTTACGCGATAGCTTTATAACTTCAACTTATGCTGAGCGAAGCTCCACTGCCTCTCTAGCTTCATATCTTCAAACTTATGCTGAGCGTAGCTCAGCTGACTCGATAGCTTTATATCTTCAAACTTATGCTGAGCGTAGCTCAGCTTACGCGATAGCTTTATAACTTCAAACTTATGCTGAGCGAAGCTCAGCTGCCTTTCTAGCTTCATATCTTCAAACTTATGCTGAGCGTAACTCAGCTGACACTCTAGCATTATATCTTCAAACTTATGCTGAGCGTAGCTCAGCTTACGCGATAGCTTTATAACTTCAAACTTATGCTGAGCGAAGCTCAGCTGCCTCTCTAGCTTCATATCTTCAAACTTATGCTGAGCGTAGCTCAGCTTACGCGATAGCTTTATAACTTCAAACTTATGCTGAGCGAAGCTTAGTTGACTTATCAAGCTTCATACCTCCATACTACTGATGGGCAAATCTTGGTCTATCCATAAGACTTATGATAGTACGGTGTGAATATAATCCGCATTGGGTTTCTACCCGATACACTAGTTTTTGTAAAATTTGTTTTAAAAAATTTGCATGCATGCGCATGTGGGCGAACCCTACAAAATTCAAAAAAAAAATTAAAAAAGCAGAATCACATAATTTTGAGAAAATGATGCCGATGATAATAAAAATGGAATTTAATCCACCTACTTAAAATAAATTTCTGCATTACTTAACAGCTCAATTGAAAACCACCGAAAAGCGTACAATACATCCACAAATTTGCCGTCACAATGAAGAGAGCAAATAATGAAAGAAAATCTATTAATCATAACAACACTGATAACTACATCATATTATTAATTTGTTGTTAAGAGACAGTGAGCGCACATTTTTGAATCGAATTGTATTATCTCTCCTCAATGCGAAGCATAATTTTATATATATTTTTTTTTCTCTTCTTTCCATTATTACATTTTCTTTAATTAAAATTTTTTTATAACTTTCTTTAACGTCTGTGCTATTTTATGCTTTAATTCTTCTTCAGTTGAAGTCGAACAGTGGAACAAGTCGGTCAAAAAAACTAAAAGGAAAAAAAAAAATTAAACGCCAAAGAAAAATTGCATTTTTTATAAGTTTTCAAAAAAAAAAAAATTTAAAAAAAATTTAAAGGAATAAAAAAGAAAGAAATGAATGAAGATTCCTTAAAAGAAAAATAAACAAGGATAGATAATACTACACATAAAAAAAATATATATATATCAAAGAAGAATAAACAGGAGAATATATTTTTTGGCAAGGAACGATACAAGAAACATGGGTAGTGCAATCAGATGAGAATTCATAAAAATTTTGCTTATTGCATCAAGAAAATACAAAGCAAACACAAAGTTCGTTTGAATGACTTGAATATAAGAAGAAAAATATTAAAAAAAAACTGTGATTTGTGCATCAAATAGAAAATAATACTGCAAGACATACAGAAGCTTAAAAAATTCACAATGAGTTCTAAGCATTTGGATTACTACATTTATTTAGGTAGGGAATTTTATGTCGCATGAAAGTCATTCTTCTTGACTTTTCTTAAGCAACCACGAGACTCTGAAATTAAAATAACATTTTAGTAAGATATGTCTGAGAAGTAGATTAAGATATTATTTTTCTGCTCTTTGGAATGACGTTCTCATTTCTTTCCTTCCGAAATAATGAAAAGAAAGAAGACTGTGCTGTAAATTCGTTCGTTTAGCATCACACCGAGCCACTGTCAGTTCTCTTTTTATTTTACAAATAAACTTTTTTTTTGCGATGTAGATTGGACTATTAAGTTCATTACGGCTGGCTGGATGGTTTTTGTGTTGTCTATGAATGAGATCTTTACAGTAAATAAAATTACCATACCTGAAATATTTTGACTTCTTCCGAGAGAGATTATCTTCTAAGTCGGTGTGAAAAATTCTCAAGTAACGGGAGGAAATAGCTAGAAAATTACATTCAATGGTTACAGATAGCAGTGGAAAATTGCACAAATTGATTAGACAGGTAGCTGTTGTAAAGTTGAATCTGGGGTATCTGGTCATATGTATGTGATTCTATCTGCAGCTTGAAGAAAACTAAAATTGGGTTTTGGAAGTTAAAGTTTGAATTTTGGAAAATAAACATTCCAAAAAAATCTTTTGCGGATTATGAAGAAATGCGTTTAAACCAACCGATTCCAATTATTTTTGCCTCAAAAAAATTTCATTCAATTTTTAATGATGTTAATGATCCCAAAAAAAAAAATTAAATTCTGTATAAAAAGTTAAATTTCAACGACTGAGATAATGAGACTCTCTTCTTACGAATGCTCTACATGACTTCAAATAGTTGATGAAGCTGTAAAAAACAGTCATTCGTTTATACACTTTAATTAGCCATCCATATGAGGTGTGTGAGACTCATAATAGATGAAAATGAAAATTTTTATGTGTGTGGGAAAAGAATTTCAGCTCAACCAGCTGCAGTAATTTAAAGTGTCGAAACATAATTTTAAAAAATGATATCTTTACTTAAAAATTAATTTTATATGTATCGCTACAAAATGTGTATCATCATAGAAATGGAGATGCAAAAAAGAGAAAGAATCTCACTCGGCAGGCAAGCGCATGTTGACTAGTGTGCAAAAAGCGTTACGAACTCAATAAATAAATAATTAAATAAATACAGCATGTGTACGTATATAATATACAATGATGATGCTGATGATAAAATGCTTGACTATTGTAACTTTTACTATCGTAATACTTCCAGTTCTGAAGCATCTTGCAATGCAGATTTTCAAGAATCTGCATTCTACGTCCCAACTGTGCTGTGTGTGCATTCAATATTATTTTTGTGCTACGATGACATTGAAAAATAGTAGAAAATTATATTAAGTACGGGATAGAGAGAGAGAAATAGCACATGCCGATTGTGTCGATAATAAAATAGTTCAATCAATTGATGTGACTCACAAATTGCGTTTTCATATATATATATATATATATATATATACATTAAAAAGCATTTATCGAGCTTTCATTTAAAGCTCAATTTAAATTGTAGCATAATAAAGTATTTTCTCATCACCATTACCAGCGGTCGATGTCTGTAAATTGAAAAATTACTTAACTGAAATTCATCCACGAAAGTTAACATATTTATTTTGTTAATTTCATGGTTTTCAAGTAAGTGCAACTGATTTAACCGTATAATTTTTGATTATACTTTTAACACAAAGAAGTAGCGCTAACGAGGTATCGATCATGAAATGTATAAAGCAACTAGCGATTTTTTAACTCGTAAAAATTTCACTTTTTTTCCTCATTCATCCATCAATAATAACGCGCACGTTAAAAAGGCAGATAACAAGAAGCGAAATATCTAAAGCTATTGAGGTGTGAATCACGAAAAATTTTGGCTCCCGAATAACTATTAATAATTGCTACATTTTTATGGTCCAGTCCCGTATATTCCCTTTCATTAGAAAAAAATACCGAAAACATTCACTTTTATTCTCAATTTTGTCTTGATTTTCTGGATATGGCTTGATATAGAAATAGTGAGCTACTGTCTTTACTTTGTCAATCTGTCAAAATATTAAGATTTATTTCATGCTTAAGACGTGCATGTAGCAACAGTTCAAAAGATATTTTATGGTAGCTTTTGTTAAAACATGATTTAAACTCTAAGTCACTTGATGCATGCTGTAAGATCAAAAAATATGTAGTTTATGAACCTCAACAATGTTCAGTTAAGAGATGTATCCACTAATCTTTCTAAAGCTTTATCATTGCTGTACACAAATTTGAGTTATTTTTTGCTCGATAGTCAGAAGAGCTCTTTATTGTTGATGCGGTTTTGCTTAGTAAACGACATTCTGCTACAGATTGTTCTATTGATTTTGAAACAGATGGCAAGACTTTTGCCGAGGGATATTCTTAAAATGCTCATGGCAATGTTTTTTATCCTTTTAAGTAGCTTTAAATTAAATGAAAATGATTTTGAAACTTGATTCATGTTAAAAGACCCAGTTTGCATACAGTTGTGGGTTTCAAAAAAGAACAATGGAATTCCAGGAATTTCTATTGTTCTTTTCTTGCTGACCCCCCCCCCCCCCCCCCCATGGACGTCATAAGTGAACGGCCCCTATGTCAAATTATGCTTGAGCTTAGATCTCCTCGTTCTTTACTAATCAAGCAAATTTCAAACTGCATCTTCTGTTCTCAACATTTTTCAAGCCAATCTCCAATAATTTGAAACTTCAACCCTAAATAATGGAAATGCACCTCACAAACTTAATACACACATACGAAAACACCTCCAAATTTTTAATTTCTATTTTTTTTTTCGGCTAGCGAAAAGAATACATGCCCACAATAATTTCACTTAATTATGGAATGAAAATAAAGCAGAAAATGTTGTAAAAGATGTGAGCTTTAATGTATAGTAATTGTAATGCTTGATGTGTGATGACTTCCATAAAAAGGCAAATACATAAAAAATTCAAAACATGTAGAGTAATAAATGAATTAATAGACGATAGGAGAAAAATTGATTTAGCAGCTTTATGCTAAAAGTTATGGGCATTCAATAAAATACCGAATAATGTTATTAATAGTGGAATGTAGGAACAATAAGTTTTTTTTTACTTTTTAATTTTTTTATCAAAGCTCTTTGTGGCAATCACACGATCGGATTAACTTTATGCATGCTTCAGATTACAAGTTTCTATGTTGTGTACAAACAAAAAAAAAATGGAGGAAATATGATGATGATTATGGTATAAACATTGTGGCTTACATTGTGGATATCTTGCATTATTTATAAATCCGGATAGATTCTTTGTGCTACAAAAACTTTACGGCTTCATTTATTTTTTGACATTTCTCATCGAAAGGTTTCAATTCCTTCCTCAGTTATGCAAAGATCCTAAATCAACGTCAAAACCTGTGTAAATGGTTTTTTTCTTCTCTAAAATATGGAGACATACAGTCAGTGGCACATTCAGGGTCTTTTTCTATCAATATATGAAAAACATTTATTGATTTACGAACATTTAAATTAAATAAGCACGTAGATGTTTTTTTTTTGGGGGATGACTTATTTTTTTCCATTGATTCGTTGTGACAATAAAATTATTACACAATTTCTTTCTATGATCAATAACATGAAAAAGGATGTGGATTCTCATGTTGAGATGTCAAAACGTAATGACAAATACCTTGAGTATCTATGCTGCTAGAAGCTTTTGCAAGCACCAAAAAGCATGAACAGATTCTCCAAGCGATATATTATATTGATGGCATCGAATCATGACAGGATATCGGATTAGAATATTGAAACTTAACATACTCATTCATAATATATATAAGAGTCCGCCAACTTTGAATGATTCGACAAATATTTTTATATCTCGTGAAAAAATTTGCATTTGCTTCTATATGCTGCAAAAAGTTTTTATTTGTTTCGGATATAGAATGTTTTGGAAGTGTATAGCTTGCCAAATAATGAAGTAAAAAGTTTGCTCCAATAACCTTGTCACAAGAATTATTCGCTTCAAGGAAGTATTTAGAAAATTTCCAATTTATGCTGCATTGGAATTAAGGATGAATTTTTCAAGACATTCCAAAAATCTCCAGCCAAAATTTTTTCTATTGAAAAAAATCATTGAAAATATGCTTACATGATAATATTTTCATGGATTGTACTGCCACGTTAGCGGATATAATAGAAAATTTATTATCATTGGCCATTTTCAATTAGGTATAGCTTAATAGGCATCATATCACCAAGTTTTTCCAAAACTGCTGCACATGTGAAAAAAAATTCAATGCCAAAAGTTCAAGTATAAACCGCATTTAGTGACTAATATAAAAAATTTGAAAAGTACAAGTGACTGCTTACTTGCGTATTAAACAGAAAATTAAGTCATCGTTATGAGTTTCAATTCGTTTTCATTGTCCAAAAAAAGATGGCAAAAGAAAGTGAATTTAAATTGATTAAACATGTGTCGACCACAATACACAGCCATAATAATAACAAGAAGTAGAGGAAGCCTACAGAGACAATGAAGAAATAATGAATGCAATTAATAAAACCTTTGATTTTCGGATCACGTACTTAGAAAAACAAAACAGAAAAAAATGGAAATTCTGTTTTCGGATAGAAAGTATTATTATCGATATCGATACTGCGTGATAAGAAATTTAGTAGCTATAGCTCATATGCAAAAAGGAAAAGCTAAGCTAAGCTCAAAAGAAAATCCGCAATCATTTTTGGAGTTTTAGAAATGGAAAAAAAGATTCGCATTATTTTTTTCATGCATTCGTTGATTTCTTTTCCTCTTCTTTTGCAGTTTATGCATGGTAACATTGCATACAAAAGATTTCATTTATCATAAAACATATCCATTAATCGTTTTCTAACAGTAGCAACAGCAATAACAATAATTCGCATACTTTTCATTTTTATTTCAGTTGTGATATTATTACTTTATAGAAATGTTAAGTGTAGTGAGGAAGCGGCGTCAATTTCTCGTTCACTTGATTTATCAATTCCTGCTTGGCGTCCGCTTGTCCAAAATCCATATCACCATCATCATCAATTTTTTCAACAAAATACTGCATCAACACCGGGACATTTAATAAGCTACTCACATTTGGAAGGGACAAATAAAAATGAAATAATTGAAGCTGCAAAATACAATGCACAAACACTGAGGAAAATTAATGAGCTTTCTCAGCAACCAATAACCTCTTATAGTAATCCTTATCCTTTATACACGCAAACACCGGGACCATTAACGAAAGCCGTCTCTACCACAGCATTCATTAATCCGAATATTTTGCGACAACAGCCTCTTGTTGCCGCATCAAATCTTATGCATGCACGACTACCATACCCAGGAAAATCTGCATCACTCTACTCGACAAAATTAAATTTCTTGGGGAAACCAGATATGTCACATCATCATCATCATATAGCTCTACATCAGAACGGCATTCATCAAACGATTGCAACAACACCAAAAATTGCTGGATTTACAAAGGAGCATAGTGGTAGAGTAAATTTTCATTATCATCATCCATCGTTTGGCATGACTCCAATATTTGATTCAACGACAAAAAGGATTCCGATGTTTGGGTAAGTGAACATGCAATGAAAACATATAAAATAAAAACAATTAAGGATGGGTAGGCAGATGACGTGTATGATTGAAATGTGCATCAGGTTTTTTTTATAAATTTATAATGAACAACTAGGATGGGGGGTAAAATCCCCGAAAGCTATTAATTCCACGATCCTGCGGGATAATAACCCCGAAAATCGCAAATTTTTAAATGTTCCCTGCGAGATAATATCTCCCAGGTAGATAATAATTTCACTTACATTACTAAGTGGGATTATTATCTTTATGGAACACGATTAAAATTATGGATTAAATCTATTCCAAAAACTTATTTGTCATAGTGGATAATAATTCCACTTGTATAAATAAGTGGATTTATTATCTAATAGGATTTTCATCCAAAAAAAATCCCACTTATTAATTTGTCAATTTCATTATTCCAAAAACTTAAATATGAAGAAAACATAAATATTGGTTGAATGTTTAAGTTGAAAACTTGGTTTTTATGCCTTTTGTAAATTTTTTAAAAGCCTAGAGCCTAGATGTTTAATGTATCAAAGATCTATTAACTCAAGAAATCATATTCACATAAAATTTTCAATTTTTTGTTTTTGCAAATAGTTTTGAAATGAAGTCTTTCAAAATTTAAAACGTGCGGAACTAATAAATCACGTTTTTATCATTTTTGTCATTGGCAAAATTTGAGTTCACGTGATGCAGTGTTTTTTGCTTTTTTGGAAGCAATGGTTGTTTCTACCTTATCCAATAAAAAATAAAGCCTTATCCTTTTTAACGCAGCAAGAATCAAAATGCAATAATTAGAAGTCTCTAAGATGCCTCGTTATTGAGATTTTTGCTGATTTACTTGACGTAAGCTGGTTTGCTTACGTATCATGCGATTTTCCCATCAATGCTACAACCAATTTAAATTCTGTTTTTCCTCAAAATGCGAAAAACTGTTTTTCAAGCTGAACAAAAATAAAGTGAATACGGTGTGAATATAAAATCTATTTTAGGATATAAAATTTTTTTATATTCACACCGTATTCACGTGTGAATCTATTGGTTTTGTTCAGATTGAAAAATCAGTTTTTCGCATTTTTTGAGAAAACGAAGCAAAATTTGTTATAAAAGGTCAAGAAGAAAAGTTTGTGCCTGAAATTTTACATCATTTTCAAAAAACAGATTTCAAATTGGTTGTGGCATTGCTGAGAAAATCGCAAAATACGCTTTCTGTAAGCAAATAAGCAAACGTGCAAGCAAGCAAGTTAATCAGCAAGAAATCTCAATAACGAGACATCGTAGAGACTTCTAGTTTTTTACATTTGATCCGTGCTGCTCTATAGAAGAGCTGTATTGTTTTTAGGCAAGGTAGGAACAGCCGTTGCTTCAGAAAAAGCAAAAAACTTTCCTTTCTTACGAATTTTTTAAAACAAAAGTTGACTGTGATTTTTATAAAATTCAAGTTTGGATGAAAATTTTTTTTTAAAAACTTTTAAAGAATGTTCGTTAAGCTTTAGACCTTCAAACTTATGCTGAGCGAAGCTCAGCTCACTCGCTAGCTTTACATCTTCAAACTTATGCTGAACGAAGCTCAGTTGACTTATCAAGCTTCATACCTTCGTACTTATGCTGGGAAAATCTTGGTCTATCCATTAGACTTTTGATGGTACGGTGTGAATATAATCCGCATTGGGTTTCTGCCCGATACACTAGTTCTGACAGGTTTTATTTTAAGCTTTTCTTTAAAAGAGCTCAAGTATCAAAGAACTTACAAAATGTTTCGTTTGAATTTTGTACGAATCACTTTAATTATTTGCTGAACATTTTCTATAAATTTGTGGCCATCAGTTTGTTTAAGTAACCCTGTATACCTGAATAATCAGAATAATTTCGAAATTTTGAGATTATAAACAATCAAATCTCTTAAATGGTCTAAAACCATTGGAAACTTTCTTGGGGCTTGTATACACGGTTAAACAGCATCAGAACTGCCATCATTTTAAAATTCTAGTTAATTTAATAAGAATTTGAGCAAAAGGATTTTAATTTTGCGTTCTTTTTATGTTTAAATCTTTAGATTTTTCTTAGCAAAATGTGTAAAAAAATATTATGATTATATTTATAAATCTAATTTTGTTAAGGGCAATTTACAATTATTTGAAAGACTTTTGGAAAATTTCAGGAAAGAATCGAAAATTTATTATTTTGCACATTAGAGGTTAGCATATCTACTCCTAAACATTTGAACAATACTGTGATTTTTAAACAGTTGAATGAATGAAGCGAAACAAAATGGAATTACAGCTACATTTTCTTTAAACATTCGAGCGAATTTCGAACATAATTTTATATGGAATAGCTAACATCTTTAGATCAGTTGAACCCACCTGAACCCACCTTGATTTTATTTTTTAAACAATTTGGAATAATATATTTTTAAAAAGCAAACATTCAACCAATATTTATGTTTTCTTCATATTTAAGTTTTTGGAATAATGAAATTGACAAATTAATAAGTGGGATTTTTTTTGTATGAAAATCCTATTAGATAATAAATCCACTTATTAATACAAGTGGAATTATTATCCACTATGACAAATAAGTTTTTGGATTTAATTTAATCCATAATTTTAATCGTGTTCCATAAAGATAATAATCCCACTTAGTAATGTAAGTGAAATTATTATCTACCTGGGAGATAATAATCCCACTTGTAATTATAGGTGGGATTATTATCTTTCGGGAAGTATAATAATTCCACGTGTTTTTCTAAGTGGGAATATTATCTCGCAGGGAACATTTAAAAATTTGCGATTTTCGGGGTTATTATCCCGCAGGATCGTGGAATTAATAGCTTTCGGGGATTTTACCCCCCATCAACAACTAGTTGTCACTTTATTTTTTGAGTATTCCCTCTGTATTTGGTCATTTTTTAATTCTCTTATGCTGCAACAATGCTGTGGATGGATGCAAAAACAAGTTTGATGGACTAAAATTATTTTTATGTAAAATTACAAAAACTGTTTTGTTAATTAACATAAACAATGATGATGATAATGGAATGTTAGCATAAAAAAGGGATACGTGCTTAATGTACTGTTGTAAAAATGTTTATTTCTGGAAGGACTGTATGATGAAATATTTAGTCACGTTTTTAAGTTGTACTATAAAGTTTTGAATTTCAATTCTGGATTTTCTAGAGCAGGAAGACAAAAATTGAAAAGATTATTCCTTAAAATTAAAACTTTAACTTGCTAATGAAATAAGAAACAATGCTACTCTATATTTTCCATACATTTCAAATGCGCCATAAGTTAATTCCATCACGTATAAACTTTCTGTAACATTTCGTTTCTCATTTTATTACTCATACATGCTTTTTCAGTTCATCGGTTACTCCTCACTCGACAACGAAAGTACATCCTGTTATGAGCAAGCTTCAAGCTCATATGGCTTTAGCTGCAATGTCACAAAATCAACAAAGCAATGGCAATAATAATAATAAATTGAAGCATGCACACCGTGCCAATTCTGGAAGCTCACAGGAATTTTCACCACCAAGTCAAATTGTGTCAAATTATGCTAATTACGATACTGCAACAAGAATTCCATTATGGAATCACAATGGATATCCCACAAACAGTCACAATCAAGCACATCATTCTCATAATGTAGATTTTCATCATCACGTTCATAAACCAGAATCACAAGTATATCAGCAACAGCAACAACAAATTTTACCGAGTGTTCATCCTTCAATCATTACACCATTCTTAGAGCAAGTTCAAATTAAACAGAAGGAAGCTGCGGCTGCAGCAGAACAGAAAAATAGCTTTAAACAAAGTCACGAGTCGAGTAGTCTTGAACATAATGGATCCTTTGAAGTCGTTAATGATGTCTTTAGTAAACATTTAGTACCACCCCCTCCATCAACGTCAAAGACACATCATCATCATTATCATCAGAAGCCATCAAAAGCTGCAGATAAAGTCGAGAAATATCCAAAATTAAATTTATCTATGCAATCTCCGCTTCAAGATGCATCTAGATTTAATTATAATAATGTAATTTCAACAGCCACACCAAGCTCTTCATCAACATCAACCGTATCTCCATATAGGAATAATCATGATGTACCAAAATATCGTCCATCTAATTCGGAAAATGTTCATTTTGAAACTGAGAAACCGAATGTTTTCCTCAATTTAAATAGACCAAAAGAAAATCCATATAAGCAGCATAAGCTGTTACATCCAGCTTATACAGGAGGAATAAAGAGACCGGGTTCTAATCAAGATAAGCCTTTCTTACCGACACCATACAAACCAGAAAAGGAGGAAGAAATTAAAATAGATTTTGAGCCACAACATAACTACTTTACAATCGAGGATGCAGTAACACCAAACTTTGGGGATATTTTGAAATATGATCATCACGAAGGCAGTGATGAGTTGGAAATAATAACACTTAGACCTCAAGTAAAGCCAACAAGAGATTACTTTACACAGACTACAACAAGCACAACGGTGGCTCCATTGCAAATTATCTCATCAACAGTTTCATATGTTGAGCCGACAGCCGTAGAATTGCCAGCACCATCATCGTCTCCAAAACCTAGACAAAAATTGAGAAGAAGAAAGCCTAAGCCACAAAATCAACAAGTATTAAAGGAACAGCAAGCAAATGAAGAACATCAGCAAGAAAGCACGAGCGAAAAACCTTTAAGAACGAGAGGCAATGTAAAAAGTAATAATAGTACACCCGCACCGGAAATTGAACTACGTACGAGGAATAGATTAAATCATCCTAATCGTGTACGTACAAAGCCAAATTTTACAACAACACCTGCTGCTGCCTTGTCTTCCAGTAACGATTATGATTATACAGCTAAACCTTTTGATGAGGATTTGAGACGTAGTGAAATAGCCACAACACAGACAACGAGTGAAGGAACAAGCATAAAATCAATAGAATCGTCAGAAATACCGGATGTAATAAGGCATCGCGTGAGATTGCGCTACAAAAGTAAATTAAATTCGAAGCCAACAACATCACACGAGGGAATTGATTTTAAGCAAAAATTGAAAGATAGTCAAATATCAGATTCTGAAAATGAGAGTGTAGTTGTTAAGCAACCATCAATAGAAGAAACGACGGAATTTAATGTTGTTACGGAGAATCCATTTGTTGAAATTAAATCCAGCTTAAAGCTGCCAAATTTGAAATTGCGTAATGAAGTGTTTACGACAATACCAACGACTCCTGAAACAGTCAGCATATCAGCATCATCGACCACAGCTGCTGAGAATGAGGACAATAATAACATATCACAAAAGATTGCCAATCGACCACGTTTTAGTATTAAGGAACTGAAAAGGAAACAATTTTTGACGTCATCATCAGTTTCATCCGCATCTACGACTAGTCTTACAAGCTCTCCATCATCTACAACATCAAGACCAGACAACCAAAGATTCAATCGATATCGTGTAAATTTGAATAGAAGACGGAATGAGACAAATGATTCCTCGTCAAGTGAGGAAATTGACACAACACGAAGACGATATTCAAGTACAAGATATTCATCGTCACAGATATCGACTACATCTTCTACAACAGCAGTTGACAGTACCACAAAAAGAACATCACTTCCAAAAAGAATTTATACACCAAGAAATTTTACAAGACCAACAGCATCAGGAAATATTGAAGCTGAAACCACAAGTCAGAAACCATCAATAAGGAATTCAACATTTGTTTCTAATCGCCCGTCAACACCAAGTTTGCGGCAACGAATACAAAACTATAATTATAAGAAAAAGGATACGTCAAATGAAGTTACGTCAGATCAAGATGACACGATTAAGAATTTGAATTTTGAAACAATTATTACACATGAAGAGCCGTCATCTACAACTACATTACAAACCACTACATCCACCTCTACTGAATTGCCTTCACCACGCGAGACTAGTATAATGAAAATCGCAAAGACTCCATCGTCAATTCTCATCAATCAGCCGATAAAATCGACAACAATTAATAGCAATACAGTTATAGAAAATACACTTTCATCGTCATTAACACCAGGCGAGCATTATCAAGACTCAACAGATTTAGTTGGTTCCCCTTCAGAGCATTCTCAGCGTGTAGCAGAATTGACCATTTCGGCAAATGAAAATTCTCAATTCAAGTCAGCAAATATTGGACTCTTATCGCGTCGCATTCCAAATTATTTTACAATCTCAACAGATGATCCCATTCTGCCTATTCAAGCATTCTTCCCACAAATAAAAACAAATGAAAGCGTAAGTTTTATGTTCTTTATTTCCTCATTCAATTGCTGATAATTTTATTTTTATTTTTTGCTTGCTTTTCATTACAGAATTAATTATAATTGAGCATGTAGTAAGTAAATTTTAACATAATCTCACTCGACTATAAGCTCTCTGCTATCCATGAATGAATGCAAGAGGGAGAAGCATAAGATTCATGTCTTTGCGACTTTCTAGCTATTAGAGGCGATCAACCAAGCAATAATTACAAATCAAATTAACTTATTAGGGACCGTTCACTTATTACGTTACGCAAGAAAACGACTTTTTTCACCCCCCCCCCCCCCCCCTATGTTACATTTGGTTACAATTTTTCAAAGCCCCCCTCCCCCCTAAAATGCGAACGTAATAAGTGAAAGGCCCCTAAACTATTTATTTATTTATTTTAATTGAATTAGATATACTATTTAAAATAATCTACATGCTGAACCTTTTCTTTTTCATAGAGGAGCGAAGAAAATTGTGCTTTTTATTATTATTAATATTATTTCTCATGTTCCTCTGAATGACGATAAAAAAGCACTTTATTAATCATTAGCTAATTCATCAAATGACATAAAATTAGAGCGTAAATAATATTTATGACACTTTATAGCATAATTCAGAGTTGAAATTGGTTGATTGATTAAATGCACTTTATTCGGAAGTTGATAATGTTGTCTGAAGTCAATGAATTGAAAGAAATTTGTCATGATCTTGAGTCTTAAATTCATTTTAAGAAATAGTCGTGTTTTAAAACCGTACAAATTCATATTTTATATGGTTTTAAGATTTCGAAACATTTGTAAGGTTCGATGATTTTTGAGTATTCTTCGTATTCCTTGAATTTGTATTGTTTCTTTAAAAAAATTGTAAGGTTTTGAAGCACAAATTCATCACATTTTAATAATTGATCACTTAAAAAAATATTCGTTATTAAATTTATTGACACAAAAATTAAGGATGTTTTCATCGGAAGTATAAATTACTATTCAACACATACACATTATCCAATCCTTCACATTCTAACCTATAACTAAATGTAATCACATTTAGACATAAACACAATCAATTTTGGTGAAATCACAGCTAGTCTCAAACATTGAATTAAACCATACGATTCAATAAATATTTGATTTATGAATGGAAGTAGCTTTTCCTCAATCGTAACCAATTTCAAACTCTGATTTTATGCTCTCTAATGTAATTTATTTCAAAACATTAAATGCTACTACACTGTTGAAATTTTCAACTCACCATAAATTTTTTATGTTGTGAGTATATAATGAGTGATTGGAAGCTATATAGATAGGATATAAAAATGATGAGCAAACAGATGATTACTTTCGTTGCGTGTGCAATTAAGGAGACTACGTTATATGTAATATAAGCCTTTCGATAAAATAAAATAAATTTCTTATTAAAAACAACACGAAACTTTGTTAAAAATCATTCAACTTTATTTTGTCTTTAATTAATTCTTATTGACTTTTTTTTATGACAATGATTCTTAAATAAAGTAAAATGATATGAAAAAATAATAATCAAAAGATATTTTATTTCATTTTCTGATAAGTTTTCTTTTAAAAGTAAATATAATTCTTCTTTGCTTAGACTTTAATGTTTTAAAAATGTTTAGCATTAACTTTAAAACTACATGAAATATTTTGTTAAGGTATTCATCTCTTTTATTTCGTGTGAAAGATAATTCACTGAAATTAATTGCTTACAACATGCTGCAAACTTAATGTTTATTATGATTCTTCAGACTATGTTCTGCGAATTGATTGGATTTAAAGTTTAAGGAATCTTAAAAATTCAGACCTTTTAGCTTGCATAGATATTAAGTGCCAATGATTTCTAGGCTTCTTAATATTCTAAATCTACAAATTTTTCTTAGAAATTCGTAAATATCATTCAATTATCCAATTTCATTCAAATCTATGAGTCATCAAAAATTGTTCATCTGGATAGAAAAAAAAATCCAAGGTCATCAAGAAAATGTACTTCCTTGCACGTTGTGACACATTTTCATTGCATGCTGTACTTCCATATGATCAATCTTTGTGTTTAGATGTATTAACTTTGAGATAATTGTCATTATTGGAACTGAAGGTACTCAAAAATTATGTTCGTCTAAAAGTCAAAAGTGTTGGATGTTTCCAAATCTGCATTATAGGAATTATATTTCTCAATCTAAATGTTGCTCTAGTCGAGTTCCTCTACAACCTTGAAACAGCTCTGCTATGCAGTATTCAAAATACTCATCATGTTTTCAGGATATTTAAAGAAATTAATTTCAGTGACCTCGATCCTTAATTCAATTTAATTTCTCATTTGCATTATTATGTTTTCTTAAAAAGTTTATTGCGAAAAGTTTTATTGATATAAAAAGGAAATCATACATGAGAACATAGAGAGACACTTTGTTAAAATGAAATAAAATAAGATAAAAGAACTTGTGCATTAAACGAGGACTATTTTTTCTAAAATTATTTATGTAGCCGCGCACAATTTGAGTCAGGTATTTATTATATAAGATTTTTTAATACTTGAAATATCTACTTACATATCTTCTCACTATTCGTAAATTACTCAAACTAAATGAGCGCGAGAGAAAATGATTTTTTTTTGCGTTAGGTATAGAATATACATGTACAGCACTTTGGCAGCGAAATATTTAAAATGGAGTTTTTTTTAAGTCAAACTTGTGAATACTTTATGAGTTTTCATAAAATTACATTACCTTATTGAAAGATTTACTTGAAAAATTAGCTAAGAAATTTGAAATTTTGGTGATAGTGGAGCTTAAAAGCTGTTTCATACTGTCTTAAAATTTTTCATGTAATTATTATTTTTTTTGGTAGAAAAAAATTACCTCAATGATTTGGACTATTCTACTAGATGCCAGATAAAATGTTGAGCTTAATCATTGAGTAGGAACCCAAAACTCTATTTCTTTTTATTCTTTCCAAGTGTCAACGTATGACCTGTACTGAATTGAGTCTTTCGTCGATTGAATTCCACAAATTCCTCTTCGAGCTTCTTTCGCGAGTCTTCCAATTTACGTTTCTCTTCGGCATGATCCTTTTTCAACTTTTCGAATTTGGCATGCAACTAAATAAGGAGAACATAGAAAATTAATTTAGAATACATTAAGCATGATTAATTATCATATTCACCTCTTTTTCACTTTCTTTTAATTCTGCTTCTTTTTCTTTGACACGAACGACAAACATTTGGCGCACTTCGTCTTCCTTTGCCTGCAATTCAGCTACGTGATTGGAGCGCTTAGCCTCAAATGTTTGCTGGAATGAGACTGGCTTATTTTCACTATCGACATCAGTAAATCCCATTTGTTCTAAGCGCCTCTGACGATACAATTCGTAGTGTTTTGTGTGCGTCTTTTCGCGCATATCTTCCATATTTGTGCGAATCAGCATTTCACGTAGCTTCACAAAGTCGCAATGTGCTTCATTCTCAACTTGGACAATGCCCTAAATTTAAGATTTATTACAATTTTTCTATCTATTAAGGATGAATATAAATAAGTACCCAAGGATAAGATCTAGCACGAATCATTTTGCTGCCCAACTTGACGAATTCTGTACTTCCAACAACAGCAAACGGAATATGTGAGTTCATATTGTTGTTTTGTTCTGCGACGGTTTCGTCGTCAGTGGGAAAATGATAAATCTGAACACCATTAGCTTGAAGTTCCTCATTAATTTTTGCCTAATTGTCGTGAAACATTTTTCACATTACTTACTTCTTCTTATTACTGATTGATCAATATTAGTCTTACCTTAAATTTCTGCAATTCGGTCTTTGAAATAGTATCAGCTTTGGCAATAATTGGAATGACGTTGACTTTTGTATCAAGTTTCTTCATGCACACCAAGTCCAATGATTTTAAACCATGACCCGTTGGACAAATGAAATATAAACATGCATGAATTCTACTATCATGATAAGTAGATATTGACCTTTTGATCTTCAATTCTTCCTGCAAATATGTTTCAAATTGCTGATCGATGTAATCGACAAGAGACTTGAATGAATCATCTTTGTTAATTTGGTCACCATAACCTACTGTATCGCAAATTGTCAGCTAAAAACAGACATGCATTTTATATAAGTCACAGTTTAACATAAGCAAGAGAAATTTACCTTCAATCTGACATTGCTTTCTTGCAACTCAAAAGTTTGTGCCTTTAATTTTACATTTGGAAGCGTATGAGGACTTGGTGCTGACTCAAAATTAGTATTGAAAAGTGAATCCATCAATGTACTTTTACCGAGACCCGTCTCAGAAATACACAAGATGTTAAAGACAAAGCCATTTTGAATACTTTTGTTGACCAATTGATCAGGGAGACTGTCGAATCCAACATGGCCCGAAAGTTTCAAATTACGTAAATGATTTTCAAGCTGTAAGATGAGAAAAGTATGTGGAAATTAAACAGACGAACATTATTATTATTAATTCCATAAGCATCTCTGGCGTGATTGTACTTTAATAGAAATTGAGAACGAGCATTTTTAAAGTGAAGAGAAACAATACGAATGGTTCATTTTATGTATGGTTAAAATTAGAACATGAGTGTCACGAAGAAAACTGGAGAAATCATAATAACAATAATAAAATGGAAAGAATGTACTTTGGTATGCAAAATGCGTGCCTGACATTTCCAATTCTGTTTTTTGTGTGTTTCTGGGCGCATATTTGTTTTTATATTAAAAGAGATCACTTTTTTAAACTGTTTCTTGACCTTTTTCACGTCTAGATCTCAATTAATCTGTTTCCCAAAAAATAACTAATGGCTCATAAAAAATAAACTTATCAAATTAATTGGAACCGAGCATTAAAGACACGCAAAACAATTTTTTTTAGCAAGCCATAAGACTTTACGAATGCAATCGATTGAACTAAGCCACATAAATTGACTGATTTATGATTTCGATACTTTTTGTGCATTTGTAATGGAAATTTTAATTGCTTTATGTCGGCCAATACAGCACAGTTTGCAGCTATTAGCACTTATAAATAACTTTCATTTATTGTTATAATAAAGAATCACTAAGAATGGAATACAATATATTGTTTATATCCGGTCCGAAATCATAATTCATAATTGCATGCTTAGTCTAATTACGAGACTTTCTAATATTAAGCACCAAACATCCAGTGAGCTGGATTTGAATAGTAATATGAAAAATTACTAGCATTAATTAATAAATAATATATTCCGTGACTAAATTACAAGTCAATGAATCATCAGTTTCATAGGAAAGTGAATTAAAGTCACAGGAAGGAAAAAAGAAGATTCTTCCAATTTATTGAGAAGTTTTTTGACGCCCAGAATTTTATGTTTTCTATTTTATTGCAGAATTTCTTCTTTCTAGCACGAATTATTATCTCCAATAAGACTCACTTTATTAAGTATATCGACCTCAGTCATTTTTAACGTTTAAACTTGTTCACTTCACTGTCTTTATAATAATAAATTAAGAAATTCACAATTATTCGGAATTGTTTTTTTCTCTCGTAAAAGTATTGCCAGATTTCATAAGAAACTTTTTGAATTTTTCCGTTACTCTTTTAACAATCTTTCTTTTTGTTTCATTGTAAATTGAATTACTATACTCTATATTAATATATGTATAATATCCAAATCTTAGTATCTAAATTGATAGTAATTTTATTTTTGTAACGGTAATTTTATTTTCAAAAATTTCACTTCTTAATTTTGAGGTTATCCGAAATTTGGAAAGTGAAAAATTGTATTTTAATTAGTTTCACCAGATCCAGCTAATATTGAGCAAAAATGACAAGTAAGTTTATCATATATATTAAGTATTGACTGAAATCAATTTGAATAAGTCCTCAAATAGTTGTATTAAAGCTGATTTTGATAAAAAAAAATTGTGTGATAAATTTCAAAGATCCAGTAAATCATCCAGTCAAGTAAATTCAATATCCTTAAATGTAGGTAATAATTAACTGCCAGTATTGCACTGAATTCAGCAGGGGGATAATAATTTAAGGAAATAATTCACTAGAAAAAATTTAACAACAATATAAAGTTTTCTACCTAATATTTCTGCTTTAATTAATTATTTAAACTATAGGTGAGTTCTTAAATTATGTAAATCAGTCTCATATCCATCAGTTTTTATTGAAAGCTTTTTAAAAAGTATCGTATTACTGAAAGAATTGTCTGCAATTAAATTTTTGTTGTCTCATTGTTTTTAATACAGTCGAAATGGACGAAAAGTACGGAGGATGTGAAGGTCCTGATGCCATGTATGTGAAATTAATATCATCGGACGGTCATGAATTCATAGTTAAAAGAGAGCATGCATTAACTTCGGGAACAATCAAAGGTAAATTTGTCAAACTGATGAGATCCATGAAGGTTCCGTTTAACATTTTAATATCTCACAGCTATGCTTTCTGGACCTGGTCAATTCGCTGAAAATGAAGCTAATGAAGTCAACTTTAGAGAAATTCCGTAAGTTTTGTTGCTTATCATTCGTAAGCCAGAAAAAGGCGAATCTAGTTGATGCAACTTTGTACCTTTAAGTTGCATGATGTGATATAAATGACCTTTCATCTTTTTACAGTTCACACGTTTTACAAAAAGTCTGTATGTATTTCACATACAAGATCCGATACACAAATAGTTCAACTGAAATTCCGGACTTTCCAATTGCTCCAGAAATAGCGTAAATAATCCTCTAAATCCTCAAACTCATAATCCTTTTATTAATTCTAGTTCATCAAATTTCAGATTGGAGCTCTTAATGGCTGCAAACTTTTTAGACTGCTAATTCCTTTCATCATAACTTACATGTTCATTTTGTGTTAAAGAAACAATATAAGAATGTGTCTTTTTCTTTTGGGTGAGAGATTATTATTTTGATATGCATTAGAATTTTTTTCCTTATCACATTCAAACAAATAACAAAATTTGTAAGACATAACAAGTCTTCAAGACACCTAAATCAATAATTTTACACATAATTTATTATTTTTAAAATTCAGTTCCCTGAATATTTAATAAAAAATTAATTGAATTGATAATAAATTTTACTGGATTTGAATTAATTTGACTTTCCAGTTCCCTACAAGTTGTTTCTACATTCAATGCATTGCTGGATGATTCACATGCTGAGAATTTTCCAAAGCAATTAAATGTCATAAAAAATACATGAGCAAGTTTAACAGACAACATCGATTCATAAGATTAACTGATAAGGAATATCCATAAAATTACACCTTTGTGAACGTCTGTATGCAGTCAGTCTTGGAAAACGTGCGCTCTCGTTGACCTTTATATTCCACCTTTCCAACATATTCATTTGTGCAGCACTGCTTCGTAGTATTTTTCTGTCATTCAATATTCATTCAGTTGTTCTTAGTCCGCGATCGTAACAACACATCGTATTGGATATACTCGATTGAATAATATTTACAAAAATTCTTTCTATTTTTTCTCCTTTTAAAATGATTGAAAAGTATTTAAAGTAACGAAAGAATCGGAAAGAATATGTGAGTATTTAATAGCTGGAATCTCGAGAAGACATAAAACATTCATTTTGGAATGCAAAAAAAAAAAAATATTTATGGAAGTAGCAGTGATTTGTTAAATGAAATTAAAGTGGAAATGTCATAAATAAGATGGGGAACCACAATGTAAATAGTTGGATATGATTAACATCTAGCGGAACTTTAATGTTGCCAAAACACGATAGCATTGAATACTGCAAAGAAAATGTCAATATTATCTATTCCTACTTTCGAGTAGCAATAAAAATTCTTTGAGTATATTCTTATCAGCTATAAATCTCGGCGAATCAATCAAGGAAGGGATTTAATTATTTTTTTTTTTATCAATATCTACACTTTTTAAACCGGTTGAATCAATTAAATCACGGCATTTTTACGATTATACCCTCGAGAGATTGTTCATGTTGTCCTTGATTTGATTGACTTCCAAATATCCATGACGCTTTTTACATCAATTCAAGATACTTTTTGCACATTGATCTCACATCATCTCTTGCTTCCATCATTCAATCGGAGCTATAAACGTACACAAACGAGGGAATAAGAAGAAGAGAAATGACTTAATATGCCTTAAATGAATGTGTATGGAGAAAAACATTATAATAAAAACGACACAATGTCTTTAGTGCCGAAAAAAAAGCAGAACAGAATGGAAAGAGCATCTCACGTTATATTTTTAGGAATCAATAGATTTATATTTAGCACATTGCTTTACTTCGTGCATTCAAATTTCCATGATAATATATTTTAAAGAGTCATCAAGTTTCACGGCGTTTCGATGCATGCATCGTCGATATTGGGGAATATATTACTCAATTTTCAATGACATATGAGGCCATTAAGTGCTTGCTTATTGCCGCAAAACAATATTCGCAATTCATTGAGACTAGAAATTGAGTGATGCTGTTTAATAAGGGGAGGGGGGTACTGGATATCAAGATCAAGACATTATTGTCTTTATACTCAACATGATCTTTCTGTCCACTATTTCTTAGTATCTTTGATTGATGCGCTTCAGTAGTAGCTCTCAAGATAACCGATTAACTTTCATGTGTGACGAGCTTAGCTGTTATATATTTGTGATGATTCAATTCCATTTAGTCACATACATAAACAATATTTTTAATACATGACTCTCCATTTATCAATTATTTACTATATATTTAACAGATAATATCTGTATGTGTGAATGAAATGACTTCACCAACAAATAGAATGTCGGGATATTCATATAATCAAGCATATGACACAGCCAGCGAAAGAAACAGTATATTTTGGGACGCGTTATCGATGGCATCGGGTTCTGATAGAAATTCTATAGCACTTTCGATCTATCATTCAGTACCTGAATTACATCAGGACGAAAATGATGGTGGAGGTCATCAACATCGCATGAATGGAAATGATAAGGTAAAAAATTGCCAAAATGAAAGTGAAAAGTGACTTTGTAACTACTTCCATATTCTTTAAACTTTTGTTTCTGTTCGATAATATAGATTTGGCACGATTACCAAGACGACGAAGAAAATAATAAATCTGTTGACTTCATATTGGCATATAATGGAAGTGATGTAGCGAATAAGTATAAACGACAGCTCTTTCAAAAGCACCTTACACGTGAAGGATTAAAATTGGAAATAGACGAATCCCAGGATGTTCATTTTGTCAAAATACATGCAACACGTGAAGTTTTGTTTCGGTATTCGGAAATTTTAAAGTTCAAGTTCCCAATCAAATTAGATGAGAATGAGAATGAAGATCAGATAGAGCATGATAAAAATATGAATAAGAAGAGCTACCCGATTTTAGAGAAAATGTATAGTTTATTTAGGCTAGATAAAAGGCTATTTCCAAAAAAACGATATGAACTTTTTCATGAGTTTTCGCGCGATAAGAGTTACCTGTTTAACGTAGAAGAATCAAACTTTTTTCCAACATTTGTGAGACTTTCTGTTGTCAATTTCATTTTGGAACGAACAGCATTTTCGGATAGTGCACAGGATGATAATTGTATTGGTATTGACAAATTATTATCAGATTCTATATATACAGCAGCATATCCTCTACATGACGGGCATCATAGAGACGAGGCAAGTAAACGTGGACTGCTGTATAAGGAATGGGGTGAACTAAAGAATTGGATCAAGCATCAGCCACTTGATATAATTAAAAATTATTTTGGAGTGAAGGTTGCACTTTACTTCTCATGGCTAGGATTTTATACAAATATGCTCATTCTTCCATCCATTCTTGGTATTATATGCTTTATCGTTGGACTCTCTACAATGTTCTCCAATTCAGTTGTGTAAGTACAGACTTAATTAACACACACTTAGGAAAATGTATTACTTTAAACTTTATATGTCAATGTCATTGCTTACACAGAAATGAGATTTGTAATGCTGACGACTCGGTTGTATTATGTCCTAAATGTGACGATTGTGGATATACGAAGTTATCGGAAACATGTATCTACTCTAGAATCAATCATATTTTGGACAACAATTTTACGATATTCTTTGCAATTTGTATGGCGATTTGGGCAGCAATATATTTAGAATTATGGAAGCGATATTCAGCCACAATAGTTCACAGATGGGGTACAACAGATTTCACAAGAGAATCTGAGCATGCACGTCCAGCATATTTGGCCAGAATAAGGACAAAAAAGCAAACAAAAAATGTTAAGAACATTGAAACAAATCAAACGGAACCAACATTGAGTTTTAAATTCAAACTTCCAAATTACTTATTGAGCTACTCAATAATTATACTTTATGTAAGGTTTTCTTATAGCTGAATATTCAAGACTTTATTGCTAATTCATAATAATTTACAGATCTTGCTGTCAATTGCAGTAGTTTTAGCACTCATTGTTTATCGAATGGCAACATTGAGCTCAAAACGGGTATACGGACCAATAGATCCTTTATCATTCAAATATATCGTCTTACTTCCTATCACGACGGGCATAATCAATTTGATAGTCATCACAATCATGAATTACCTCTATGATTACCTTGCAGTATTTTTAACAGATTTAGAATACCGACGTACAAAAACTGAGTACGACAACAGTTTATCGCTCAAAATTTACTTGTTCCAGTTTATAAATTACTACTCATCATTATTTTATATCGCGTTTCTCAAAGGCAAATGGCCAGGAACGCCCGCTAAGTATAATCGGTTCTTCGGTCTAAGGTAAAATTTCTAGCTTAGTTCCTTACAAATTAACATTAGCTTATTCTTTGAAAAATAATGACACTGTTGATATTTTATAGGCAAGAAGAATGTGCTCCCGGAGGATGTCTAATGGAACTCTTTATACAATTAGCAATCATTATGATAGGTAGGTGCTAGCCAACATTCTTGCAATAGTCGACTTATTAGCTGACATCATAAGTCAATGAAATTCGTGAATTTAAATGACTGTGCAGCACAAAGCTAGTTATGTTAATTTTAAGGCATTAATTAATTCTTTAAATTCACAGGCAAGCAAGCAATCAACGCAATACTTGAAATAGCAACACCTTGGCTGATGAAGAAATGGAGAATTTTCCGTTATGGCAAGAAGAATACTGATGAAGAAGGGAGACTTAAAGATACGAATCAATGGACCAAGGACTACAAATTGATGGTATTTGATTCAATGGGACTGTTTCAAGAATATCTCGAAATGGTTTTGCAGTTTGGGTATAAAACTGGTCATGTCTTTAAATACTCAATTATCTAATTCTATAAAATTTTAGGTTCTGCACACTATTTGTCATATCATTCCCCCTTGCACCACTTTTTGCTCTGATCAATAATATTTTTGAATTGAGATTGGATGCAAAGAAGTTTTTAATATATTATAGAAGACCAGTGCCAAGACGGCAATCTGATATTGGAATTTGGCTTACAGTTATGCGGATGCTAGGAAAAATATCAGTCTTAACAACTGCATTTATCAGTATGTCTACTATTTTTATCATTTCTAAAAGACAGGAAAAGAAATAAATTTCTTTCTTTGCAGTTGCATTTTCGACAAGCTTTATTCCACGATTAGTTCACGATAACTCAAAAGAATTGCGTAAAATGGGATATTTGAATTTTACACTTGCATACTTTAATACAGCAGATTTTGAAGATTCGTCCATGCCAAATGCAACAATTTTTGGAGCACACGAGATTTGCAGATATCCAGAATTTAGGAATCCACCGTGGGATGATCATCCTTACAAACGACCATATTATTATTGGCAAATATTGACAGCTAGACTAGCATTTATCATTGTCTTTCAAAATGTAGTCGCGTGGCTACAGCAATTCATCGACTGGGCTATACCTGATAAACCAGCACAATTAGATAGTTTAATTAAGCGAGAAAACTTCTTAGTCAGTAATAAAATTATTAGAGAAGAAAGGCAGAGGGCTCTTCAACAATCTAGACAGAAAATGGGTGAGATTGATTATGTTAATGGAAGGGTATTTTATGAGGCCAAGAGTTAAGGATGTCAAGATTCTTTTTTATCAAATTAATCTAAATGTTAATTCTATTTTACAAAAATTAATTACGCTTCAAAACTAGAGTAAGTTGCTATTTTTATTCTTATGATTAAGTGCAACACAATCTATACTTTAAAAGAAGTGCAAATGCTCTATTGGGATTTATTATATTTTGTTTTTGTTACTTAATTTTATTATTTTATTCTTTACATCTATAATCTTCCAAAAATCATACGAGTCTATTACACTCAATGAAGCAATAAATAAATTTTTTCTAACATTCATAAACGTCTTGTTCATTAAATTTTGTCGTCTGCAAATTAATCTTACAGGATTAAAACTTTAATCGTGCGTCAAGAAACGTGATCAACGGCTAAAGATTATAAATTTTAATTACTTGATTATCCTCGAGAGACTAATGGGCTTGCCCATAAATAGTATACATAAAGCACATATAACACACACGACCAGCGTTAGTGAGTGATGATAATTTGTCTTTAGAGATATATTAATGTGATTTCAGTTCATTTATAAATGATAAGTTGTGACATTTAGAATAGTTTACGATAGTTGGACTTTGATTTATCCTCTTCTGACTTTATTTTGTCTTTAAGAGCATTTAGTTCCTTCATGACTGTAGGTTTAAGTGATGAATCCAGTTCAATAATTCGATTTGAATCCTCTTCAGCTTTATCGACGTTCCATGCTCCAATGTGACCTTTACATCTTCTGTACAAGGCTTTTATATTGTCTGGCTCATATGATAAAACTTCTGTGCAGCATTCAATGACTCGATAATATTCTTTTTGAACTAGTTTACATTGAGAATAGTTTAATAGAAGTGGAATTTTCATTCTAGCTAGATCCATCCATTCTTCATCTTTTGGCTTTTCTCTGAGCATCAATTGCTCTACAATTCCTAATGCTTTTGAGTACGATTCTTCAGCTTGAATAAATTGATTCCTCTTGAACAATTCATTTCCTTTTATTCGGAAGTCATCGATTGACTGTAACTTTTCAGTCTCATTAAGTTGCCAGCTTTCTTTTTCATATTCTTCAGGCAGTTCTATAGATGTGACTTCAATTGTGAATATAAGATCACAAGGTTTTTTGAATAATTCATCAAGATCCTCATATCCAAGACCCTCGTTCTGCAAAGTCATTCCACAGCAGTGCCTTTTCTCTTCTGGCTTCTTAACTGCATCTCTGATTGTCTTTGATATAAATGGATATTGCTGTACTAATGATTGATCAACATGAAATCTTGCAACCTCGTTCAAGGACATTTTCTGGACAATTACTTCCCATACTTCCAGTTTGAATTTCTTCCCCAAAACTAGCTCAAACAGCCTATTTGTCTTTCTGGAATCATCGATTATTTTCTGATTATCTGCTCGCTTTGTTTCATAGTGAAATTTCACTTTACATCCATCTTTCAATGGAATATACTTAGATCCAACATAAACGGTCTCTTTCTTAATTAATGCTTCATTTACATCACACATTTTTTAACAAAAAGTCTAATTTGGAAAATTTCAATGCTATTTGTTTTTATTTTCTTGAAAACAAGAATTGGTAAGGAACTGATAAGTGTACAGCATTAAGCGCAATTCAGGATATAAGGCTGTCTATTTAAGAATTATTTAAATTAAAGAAATTGGACTCAAATTAATGTATTCGTTTCATATTATCTAAGTCTTATATTGTTATTTCATCCAACTGTATTGCAGTGTCATATCTCTTAAGAGTCTGACAAATAATAAACATAAACATAATTCAATTCATAAATTAACTGGATGTTGACAAAGCAATCAGTGACTTTTAAAAAGTTGTTTTAACTTCACCGGACAAAGTGAGCTGTATAGCTAGACATTCAATTATTTATAAATTGGATAATATTCGAGTTCTAGACAGAGGTAGTTTGTGGAATAGATTATACTGTCGAGTTTTCCTTACATAATTTTAAAAATTGCTGAATATTTGTCTGCTGCAGATTTTTAATAATAATAATTGTGATATGTGGAATTAGTACTTAATTAAAAAAATATATTATATATCGTAACTTGTGAAGACAATAAGAAATTTGCATAACTTCAATTAGTCATAGCAAAAATCGAAAGGAAACTTCGGAAAATTCGAAAAAATATATCCAGAATAAAGGAAAATTGTGAAAAATCATGATGCTGAATTTGAGAAAATTTTTGGTAATCAAGAACTTGAGGTAATTAACTTATAAGTCATGTTGTAACAGTTGATTAAATTGAAATATCTATTTAGTGTTCGTGGGATCCAATCAGTGGTTCCAGACAGCAATTTAAAAGATTTCACTGTCGTGAATGAGCCAATTTTAAGCTATAAGAAAGGATCTAAAGAGAGAAAAGAATTGGAAGCTGCATTGAATGAAGCTAAATCAAATATTGTGGATGTTCCAATTATGATTGCAGGAGAAGAAATTCGTACGAATGAAGCTAGATTTCAAGTTATGCCACATGATCATCAACATCAAATTGCTCGATTCTATTATGCTGACGAGAAGCTCCTTCAAAAAGCAATTGGTAAATGCACAGAAGCACAGCAGAAATGGGATAAGACACCATTAAAGGAACGAGTTGAAATTTGGGATAGAGCAGCTGATTTGATGGCTGGAAAATATCGACAGCGTTTGAATGCAGCAACAATGCTAGGCCAATCAAAAACAACAATTCAAGCTGAAATTGACAGCGCAGCAGAACTGATTGATTTTGTTCGTTTTAATGTTTTCTTCTTGAAGGAAAATGCAAAATTCCAGCCAATTAGTGAGGATATTAAGGTCACTAAGAATTCCGTACGTTTTCGAGGAATTGATGGTTTCGTTGCTGCTGTCAGTCCATTTAATTTCACTGCAATTGGTGGTAATTTATCATACACCCCTGCTTTAATGGGTAATTCAGTTTTATGGAAGCCCTCAGATACAGCAATTTTATCAAATTGGGCAATTTATGAAATTATGCGCGAAGCAGGTAATTAATCATAATCATGTCATTTGCTGCCTGTCAATAATACTAATAAATTTGATATCTATTTAAAGGCGTTCCAGAAGGTGTTGTAAACTTTGTTCCTGCAGACGGGCCCGTATTCGGTGATACAATAACAAAATCGCCTTACTTAGCTGGAATCAATTTTACCGGCTCTGTTCCGTAAGTATATTTATAGCAATTACTGATAATTTTTTTTTTATCAATTCTTTTATTTTTTTTAGCACCTTTAATCGTTTATGGAAACAAGTCGGTGAAAATATCAACAACTATAAAAATTATCCAAAACTGATAGGAGAATGTGGAGGTAAAAATTATCATTTTGTACATCCATCAGCAGACATTGAGAGTGTCGTGACTGGAACAATTCGTTCATCTTTCGAATATTGTGGACAAAAATGTTCAGCATGTTCACGCGCATATATTCCCGAGTCATTATGGCCAAAGATTAAGGAAGGATTACTTTGTGAACGTTCTAAATTAAAAGTTGGTGATGTTAGTGAATTTTCAACATTTATGGGTGCTGTAATAGATGAAAAAGCATTTAAACGTATTTCTTCGTATATTGAACATGCCAAGGCTTCACCAAATTTAGAAATTATTGGAGGTGGTGGATATGATTGCAGTAAAGGCTATTTTATTGAGCCTACGATTGTTCAGACAAAAGATCCATTGGATAAAATTATGGTTGAGGAAATTTTCGGACCATTATTGACAATTTATGTTTATGCTGACAAAGATCTTGATGCTACAATGAAACTTGTTGGAAGCTCGACACAATTCGCATTAACAGGTGCTGTATTTTCTACTAATGAATCATTCTTAAAGCGTGCTCTTGAGGAATTCAAGATGACTGCTGGAAACTTTTATATAAATGATAAATCAACTGGAAGTGTTGTTGGACAGCAGCCATTTGGTGGCTCGAGAATGAGTGGAACTAATGATAAGGCAGGAGGTCCACAATATGTCACAAGATGGTCTACAGTTCAGTCAATTAAAGAGACTTTTGTTCCATTACGTGATATCGATTATCCATACATGCGTGAATAAAAAGGTTGGCACATCATAACTCTATTTAAGTATTAAGCTCGATATACTTTAAATCCCCAAAATGTTCTACTCATAACGAAGCATATATAAACAGCTAGATTCTACGAATTAATGTCCCGTGAATCCTTTATCTGCATTTTTTTGTTCCCGAAAAAGAAAAAAAAAATATCAAAGAGAATTTACTAATTCATGTGCTACTTATTCTGCCATACTCGATATTTCGAAATTTCTCACATCTCAAAAAAAAAAGAATTTTTCGAAAAAAGACTACGTGCTAGTGAGACATGTTCCTTGGTTGTTATTATTATTATTATTTTTCTTTTGTTAAAAATTTACAAGTATTAATAATGAAACTTACGTACTTAATTTTTTGTTTTTACTCCTTAAAAATGGAAGTGAGCAACATTTTTTATGATTTTCATTAGAATTGGCTGTGTTTATCATTCAATGAAATAAATAAATCAGACATGCTGACCATTAAACGATTTTTTTATGTTATCAAAACTGTTTCATGATTCATGAAACAAGAAGAAAACGTGATTGGTAGGGATTGATGCTCGGAAGTTTTTTTTTGAGGAACTGGATGAATCGAAATTTATAGCAGTTAAAATAAATTTGAAAATTAACGGTTAAATTTATTTTGAAATTTATGTAATGATTTTCGCATCACTTTTTGCGTCTATTCACAGCTCGATATTTCAAATTTATAAAATACGTTAAAAACTAAATTGCGAATTCGTGACTCAAAAAAATCTACAACATCCTGAAAAGCTCTAATAATCTCACGAATCAATCCCTGCTAATGACCATAAATAGACGTACTTACAATACAGAATAATAATTACAATAAAAAGTTGTTCAGTAGACTCGAAAAAAATCCAATTAAAATATATTAACAAAAATAAATCCAATCCAAATCCGTGTATCAATAATGAAATGTATGATGAATGTAAAGGAAGAAGAAAATAGAGAAATGTAATAACGAAAACAGTTTTTGAATTTCAAGCACCATAAATTGATAAAGCTTAATGCTTTATAATTTATTATGTAATAGACAGTTTTTCTTTTTATTTAAATTTTTCGTCATTTTCTTGGTTTTTTTTTTGTTGTTTGATTGATTTTAAAAAAAATGTTCTTTTACAATAAATTTATCATTATCATCAAGTTAAAGTTATGCCAAAAACGAAACATAAACATATTTTTTGACATTGAGTTTGACTGTAGTACGGAAACATTCTTAAAAATTGGTTGTTAGTAAATAATCATCGTGTGTTGTTCAACATTATTATTATTATTATTAAAAAAGAATCCTATAAATAATATTTATTTACAGCTATTTGCTATCCACTTCTTTACTTTTGTCTTACGTTCTGTAAATTTAAGATAGCTGAACAGATTGGTTGTGGATTTGTCTCATCTGGGAGCATTGCCATTGCTTCTTCGACAATCTTTTGCGGAAATATGTTGCACAAATGATAGTGTAAGCGTCGCCTTTGTTCGAATATTGAATAATTTATTTGTGGCTCTGAAGCGGATGTTGATGGAAGCAGATGATTATTTGCATTATTTGCCCAATTAATATTTGATGAGTTTGGAGCTGAAGCTATTCTCATGACGTTCTGTACAAATAAATTTTAGAGAGATTTAATAAACAATTTATACTCATTTGACTGACTAGACATGCCTCAAGTTCAAAATATGCGCTGTCCAGTTTGAAAATCAATACTTACTTGATGCTCAAAGTGTGTTTGCGAAGCACTTCCAGTTAACGAATGTGATGCCGTCAATTGTTTATGAGCGGGTGGAGAGGATAAAAACAAATCGGGATTTTGATTTTGTGGCGCCATAGATGGATTATGATAACGTTGTTGAATTGGATATAAACGTGGATCGTATGGATTTAAAAGGGATAATTGCCTTTGTAGTTTCTTATGGAGATTCAATGTTATGTCTGAATTGTCAATATTTTGCTGTTCTTGCTGTTGTGATTGGCCTTGCTGGTTCCAGAGATTACTATTGCTATAACTTACTGGCTTCTGTTGATACATTTCTCGAGGTAGATTATCAATGCTATGTGATTTTGGAAATTGTTGCTGTTGTTGATGTAAATGAGGCATCAAATTGTTTGTGGGCGATGTGCTTGCAGATAATGCCTGAACAGGCGCAAGTCGATACTGTTGAGGTGAATTCATTTGTTGTGATAATGATAAACTAGGTGGTGGAACTAAATGTTGCTGCGGATTGGGTAGATTTGATGTTGTTCTACACAATGCTTGCTTACGATTATCTACTGGATTTCCCGACGAGACGGAAAGAAAGTTGCTGTTATTAACATTATTATTAAGTGGCACACTCAATGATTTTCCTTGAACTTGCTGCTTCTTAGAAGCTTCGCTATTACTCTTATAAAAATCTGATAATCTTTCTGCGACCGATTTGTGTGGCTGCAAACCACGTTCTGGATGAAAGAATTTGCACTTATTCCCGTAAGTACATTTCTTCTTTGCGCCATAAGGACATATCTGCTGATCGATTTTTCTGCAATGACAATAATTAAGTCAGTAAAAGGAATTTTTATAGAATTATTATAAGCACATCTTACTTTGGCTGAATTTTTAAAAAGTTATCCAAGGTTGGTCCTATTTTTCCCATAGGATCGTCAGGAGGCATAAAGCGATCGTTTACGAAAGAATACATCAAGATTCTTTGTTCGACTACCTTCTTAAATTCAGTGCTCTCTTGGAGTAAATCTCGATAGTTATCATTTGACACTACAATCCCATCGTTTTCGACAGCTAGCTTTAATATGTATCGATCATCATAACAGACCATACGTTTACCATTTGTTAGACTTCTCGATGGTGTATAGACTAAAATTCGTTCCTTTTCCAATTCATGAAGAATCTCTTGCTCCTTAATTGGATTATCAGGTCTGGCACTTTCCTTTCTCCATTTGGGTACGAAAACAGTTATATCCTTATGTCCACGTTGTTTGAACCAGTCAACACAAATGGCAATTCCACGACAACTAAATACTTCTTTATTTCCATGACTCATGGCAACATTAGATCCATCAATTACGATGGGACGAAGACTATTATCTTGTTCATTGATAGATGCATTCTCATCACAAATTTCGCTTTTAATATCTCCATAATCACATGCTAATGTTATTTATATTGAGTATTCGTAATGATGTGTGAACGTACGTAGCAGTCAGTTTTTGAGTATGGAGAGTATAGAGCAGAGAAGAGAAGAAACAAAAAAAAAAAAATAAACAACACATGAGAAAAAGGTAGACGATACGCGATGGAAACAAAATATGAATAAAAACTAGTAATAACAACAATAATATGAAGAGTTAAGCTATTAAAGAAGAGAAGTAAAAAAAAAGAGAAAAGATTTGTTCAAGGTGCATTTACCATTATTAGATCCGGATGTTGCGCCTAACTTAATAAGCTCAGCCAACAGCTCATTATTTGTGGGATTTACTAATCTTTTAAGAGCCTGCTGTACAAGTCGCTCTGAATATCCTAATTTTAATGAAAACTCCAAATACTGGCGATAATTTGTCTAAAGGAGATGAAGAAAATAATAAGATTTAAATGTACACATTAAATATAGAATATGATGATGAAACAGACGATGAAGTGTGTAGAGAGAAAAAGAAAAAAAGAAGAAACAACAACAACAATTCAACATTTGAGAAACAGATCCGGTTGTTGATGACGGAATTGAAAGAAGAAAAAAAAATTATATATACTTACCGAATTATTGTAATCGTCTACCAATTCTTGTCCTAATGTTTCCGAGACATTCCTGCTCACATTTACGTGAGGTGACGAGAACTGTGCCTCATTATCTGAATCGTAGCTAGAATCCTCATCGAAATGATCCACCTTTTTATCCAACATGAATAGTCAGCAGTAAGCAGCAGCAGCAATAATAAAAATGGGAAAAAAGAGAAAATGAATTGATCTAATTTACAATGTTTTTAAGCACATCCGGAATCGATTTTTCTCTCTTTTCTCTTCGATTTTCAATTAATTGTTTCCAATTTTTCTTTATAAACAAACGAAATTTCACTGATTACGGATATTCACTATGTTTTCATTGCTGTCTATATCCGCAATCGAATCTCTTTTTTTAAGGCACAGTCTAAAGACTATCTGAAAATCTTATTTGACACAATATTTATTGAATTTTCATTATACCTCTTTTGAAAACGAGGATATCTTGTTCTGCTGACTTATTTTTTCAGTCATATGGATTAATTTAATTATTTTATCACTCCTATACTAGCTTAAACAATAACTTTTAGTGCTGTTCCTTTGAAATACACAAATATCATATCCATGTCAGTGATAAACTTATTCCAATTCCATAGAGAAAATACACATCCAAAATTTTGAACTGACTGTTATTTTTTCCTTCTTCGTTTTCTTAGACAGCTTAAATACATTGATTTGATGCTCTCAAGTGCCCTGGATCACGATATTAAGTAATAATTTGTATCTTTACTTAGTATTCTTATGGTTTTATAACATATTTTAAGGTTTTTAAAACATCCAGTAACACCGTTACTTACCCTAAACAACATATGCCGAAAAAAAATAACAACAAAATTTTGAGATTAGTTTAATTAAAAAATCAAGTAAAAATGGCAGAAGAAGAGCAAGTAAGTTAATTAACATTATGCTTAGATACTCAAGATCATTTTGACATTAAAATCATCTTGTTACAGCTTCCAATTGCAGTCAAAGAACCTCTCGATTTAATACGATTAAGTTTGGACGAGAAAATCTATGTAAAGCTGAGAAATGAACGGGAACTACGAGGTGTTTTGCATGTAAGATCATTTATATACCATAATGAGTTGATTCCAGAAACTCTCAGTGTCATTTTAAACTGATCAAACAATTATTCCCATCAAGGCATTCGATCAGCATTTAAATATGGTCCTTTCTGAAGCTGAAGAGACAATTACACAAATTGAAATTGACGAGGAGACATATGAGGAAGTGTATAAAACAACAAAGAGAACTATACCTTTCCTGTTCATTCGAGGCGATGGAGTCATTTTAGTCAACACATCCAGAAACTTTCATTAAACTCATTTTGATGAAATTCCTTGTCCTATTATTAAGATACTGAATACTTTTCATCGTAATAAAAATCACTGTTTTAAGGAACACTATAAAAGTCTTACAAATGATTTACTTTTTTTTTTAAAAAATTAATCTTAGAACATCCAGTACTTGAGAACTATCAGCATGTGCATGCATAGTGAGTCAGTAGAAACTAGCTGATTCTCGATAATAGAGAACAGATGTTTTGACAGATATAAAATGCCCAATTCAGATACATATCGAGAAGTGAATGACTCACTAAGTTGCAAAAGCATGTGACTAAGACACAAGAAACTCTTCATCTTCAGTCGTTACAGTAAGTATGTTAATCAAATTACAGCATTTCCGCATTTATACTTCCTGATAATGTTTCCAACGTTTTATACGAGTTCATGCAACAAGCAAATATGAAGCAATAAAAACAGCAGTTAAGGAATTAAGAAAACTTAACGTAAAGGCACTGGTTTTAGTTAAAAAAAGTTCAGGAATTAACTAGTAAGAGCTAGAATGTTGTTATTGTTTTACAAAAGCACATGCACAAGCATCTTACTATAGATGTAAAACTTTTTTTTTTATCGCAAACGTGCTCTACTACAATATCTAGTATTTAATATCACTTCTTAAGGATTTATTGCCCTTGTTTCTACCTATGCATTTTTTATTTTTAAATAATAAGTAGAAAATAGTCTCTAGAAATCGAGGCGTTGTAAATAAAAGCAAATCCAGTGACACTAAGATGTTGTAAATTTCATTAATATAAGGCTGCTCTAATTTATTCAATGATGACAATAACTTCACATTTTTGTTATCTATCACATTAGTAAGAAAGTATTTCGACATAAAAAGTTGATGTCACGAGATAAAGCAAAGCAGAATGTCAGCATAATTTTCGGATGCAAAAAACCGACTATTTTCACTCCCCGTCACCCCTTGTTACAACATGTTACAACTCACCCCCCCCCCCCCCCCCCCCCTCATTTTTTTTTTCCAAAAGACAGACGATAGTAAGAACGTTACATACTTCTTGACCCCCCCCCCCCCCTATGTTACATTTTGTTACAATTTTTCCCTCTTAAAATGCGAACGTAATAAGTGAACGGAATGTCAGCATAATTTTTGTATGATGGATGCAAGTTTTGCTAAAATTTTCATTTTCTTTCATTTCGTGCTGATTTGTTAAAATTTTTCGCCATGACCTAATCAACCACAACCTCAATCAATATTAGAGTAGATCGTTAGAATGGTAAAGTCTTGATAAGTTTTATTTATAATTTTGCTTGTCAGATCTGCTCAGAGTTAATCCAGTGGACCATGCTCAGTTTGAGATAGATCTATTAAATCTTAAACCTCAAACGAAACGTACATCCACATTCTAAAACAATACGAGTCGTTGGTTTGTAATGCACATTTAGTTTCCTTCCTATTTGTCATATCAAAAAGCGATTAGCAAACAATTATTAAAATTTAAAATTTGCATCGAATGTATGTAAACATATCTCATTATAATATATACGCCATACATAGAAATTTTACGGGCTACAACTTTTTGTTTTTTGATGACTTTAAAATATTATCTCACACATTTTTGCCTTTCAATGAAGTTGGAAGTTTGATGAGCGCGCGGCAGGTGGAATTGAAGAAGATAAGCGAGAATTTTCATTGTGTGTTGCATTGTGACACTAAGTCATATTCATAAATTATGAGAATAACGACACAATCAAACAAATCATTATTCTCGAGCTTCAAGTATGTAGTAAGTCAGACAAAAATACAGAACTTTTCGCGACATCTCTCATTAGCTCCTCGATTTTCAAACGATAAAGTTAAAAGAATAATCTTTTTTATCTGGATTAAGAATTCTAAACTTTCCAATATTATTAATTCAAGATTTATAAGAAAGCTTTCTGTAGGAAAAAAAGCTCTTGAAGAACTTTCGTCTTTCGGAGATGTGAAAAACTAATTGAAGTGAATTTGAAGTTATTACAAAGAATTGAATCGATTAAAGAAGTTTTAACGTTTAGTGAAAAATATAGTACAAGGTGAGTTGGGAATTAGGAAGTGAAAGCTTTATTGAAACCACAAAACTTTCGAGAGTATTGTTGTCTATTGATCAGTAAAGAATTATAAAACATCAAGTTTCTGTAATATAAAGTGTTATACAGTCCAAAATAAGAATTCTCGATGTTAACATGACTACTTCCTAGATATATCTTAACTTGGATCTTAAGAATCAGTTGATACTAAAATATCAAAAGTCTAATTATAGGTTCATAAGAGTGAGAAAACTTAAGAGTCCTAGTTTCTCCTACATTACAAAAATCACAAACCGTCGCAATCCGTGTGGCAAAACTTTTGATCCCTAATCCAATTAGATTTAAAAATATCAGATATATCTCCAATTAAGAACACATTTGTTCAAACAAAACTAGATATTCATCTTATCATAATCTTAACATTTCTCAGATCTTAACACGTCGCAAGAAAAACTATAAAAAAATTCATAGATTATCAAGTTCCAATTACTAGCTAGTCATTTCCTGAAACGGGGAAATTTACCGAAACGTAACTGAGACCTGAATGAAATGTAAATATTGTTAATAAAACATTAAATGGATCTTAATCATAAATTGTGATCTAGCTATAAATTTGTTGATATATCACCATTGTTTTGACACTTTTCATGTGAATTTTAGCTAGCAAATGTATGAACATGCACAACTTTGTATTCACTAAAAGTAGGTTTGTGACAAGCTCTATAATCCGATTCATAACTTTTACGATTATTAAAAACTGAATGAAATTTTTCATAGTCTATTCTGATTAAAAACTATTAAAATTAAAGAGTGAATCAGTTCTGAATAGAGCTTATTAATGACACATGACTTGAAGCACGTTTTTGCTAAAAGGTGTAGGACTCTGGCTATTTTGGAGTTCTGAACAGAAATGAAATATTTTGCAATCATTTAAGATTATTTTTGATAATCCAAGAGCCTATAATTAATTAATTGGATCTATCAAGAACTGGCACTAACCTAGATACCACCCTGCACTAGTTTGAATTTATTTGTAAAAGCTGTCTTTTGTAAACATCGCTTAATTTTCCTCATGACGTTCAACGTTAATGATTTTCTCTTCTATTACATTTTAATGATGTTACATGTGACATTAAATAATAAATCTCATTGAAACTGTAAACTGCATACAGATATTGTAATTTGTTCAAGTTCAATATCATGGGAGCTTTCTAAAGAACATCAAGCATATATTCTTATCAGTATTTAAACTTCCAGAAGATAATAAACATCTAAAATGCATAGCGGGTTTCACAGCGATGATGAGAATCATCAGAAAAAGGATGTGGTCGATACGGCATCAATTAGAGAAAAGGTCAAATTAGCAAGATCTGAAAAATGGAGAATCTTGAAAAATATCATTGTTGTGTCAGTTGCTTTTATGGTACAATTTACTGCATTTCAAGTAAGTACAAAAATTAAATAAACAAAAAGTTGAGTCACATCTGGTTATAACTAAAATAAACTATAGGGAACTGCAAATTTACAATCGTCAATCAATACGAAAGACTCTCTGGGAACAATAAGTTTAGCTGCGATTTATGGATCTCTCGTGCTGTCATGCATCTTCCTTCCTACACTGCTGATCCGTAAATTTACAGTCAAATGGGCTTTATTCTTCAGTATGCTTTGCTATGCACCTTATATAGCTGCACAGTTCTATCCCAAATTCTACACTTTGATTCCGGTAAGTAAATTGATAATTTAAATGGAATTTTCTGGTTTTCATGCTATGGAATGTCAAATATGTAGGCTGGAATTCTCGTTGGTTTGGGTGCTGCGCCTATGTGGGCTTCTAAAGCCACATACCTCACGCAACTCGGACAAGTCTATGCAAAGTTAACAGAACAGTCAGTTGAGGCAATTATTGTCAGATTCTTTGGATTCTTCTTCTTGGGTATGAATTAATAAAATCAGCAAATAATCACATGCTGTAATCTATAAATCAATTTCACAGCATGGCAAAGCGCTGAGCTTTGGGGAAATTTAATCTCGAGTTTGGTGTTATCATCTGGTGCTCACGGAAGTGGAGGAAGTGGAGGTTCAAATTATTCAGAAGCAGAATTAGATTTATGTGGTGCTAGTTTCTGTGTTGAAGAGCTTCATGAGAATGCCAATCTACAAAGACCTCCAGATAGTGAAATCTTTACAATCTCAATCATTTATCTGACATGCATTGGTGCTGCAGTGACTATCATTGCTATATTTATGGATCCATTATCTCGATATGGTGAAAGACGTCGTGGATCAATATCAGCACAAGAAACATCAGGCATACAACTACTTGCTGCAACAATTAGACAGATGAAAAAACCTAATCAACAACTTCTTATACCACTTACTGTTTTCATTGGCATAGAACAAGCATTCATTGGTGCCGACTTTACTCAAGTAAATTGATTTTTTTTTGGTCTTAAATGTTCACAATTTCTTATTGTCTATTTATGTTTCTGACTGACAGGCATATGTTTCATGTGCACTAGGCATTCATCAAATAGGTTACGTAATGATTGTTTTTGGTGTAGTCAATGCAATCTGTTCAATTATTTTCGGAACGATCATGAAGTACACTGGTCGATTTGTAATCATTATTTTTGGGACTGTCGTGCATATGGGAATATTTACATATATCTTATTCTGGCGCCCACATCCTGACCATAAATTTGTATTTTTCCTAATTAGTGGATTATGGGGAGTTTCTGATGCTGTGTGGCAGACACAGATTAATGGTAGTTCTTCTTGATGCTCTGGATTTAAACATTATTGGATCTAATATTGATTTTAATTACAGGAATTTATGGTGCACTTTTTAGACGTAATAAAGAGGCAGCATTCTCAAACTATCGACTGTGGGAATCAGTGGGATTTGTTATAGCATATGTCTATTCAACATTGATCTGTACAAGCATGAAGCTTTATATTGTAATCACAGTATTAGCAATTGGAACAACTTGTTACATTATCGTAGAAATTAGACAATTGAGAAAGGTATATAAATATTTCAAAGAAGATTGACGTGCTCATTGTCAATTTTAATTTCCCACACAGGAACGAAAACAAAAAGAGCTTGAAAAGAAACTCGAAGAGCCACACAACCAATTGCCTGTTGAACCAACGAGAGGAATTGATGACGAGACAGACGATGAGAAAGATGAGTTGGAAGAAGATATTGTAGTTACTCATTTGTAGAACAGAACTTTATTAAGAATAGATTAGATTCTACATGTATTGTTGATATATTAATTGTTAATTATTTATATAAGTATGTATAAGTACTTAAGGTATCGATAACTTATATTCCATTGCACTGGGCTGCGAAATATAAGCGGGACATTCACAAATGGCATCAAACCTACCAGTCATTTGTGAACAACTCTTAAGCTTATTGCAATTGTATTTAGATAAAAATAAATGTAAATCAAAACTACTTTCCATTGAGATGATTTTAGGAACTATGAGTCATTTTATAGATCCGCACGGCTATGATAATAATAATATTAAATAATGATACAAATCCGTAATGATAATAATAAACAATAATTGCATATATGAACTTATATTCACTTCTAAATTTATCACTTAGTTTAACATGAATTAAAATACAAAAATGCTGTACACATCTTTCAGGCAACATGACATCATGGTCAATTAATCTATAAACATCTCAGTTTCATTTGAGGTATTTCTCTTAATGTTTTGTTTTGGCTTTTTTATTATCTATCGCATGGCGTGTCTCTATATGATTATTTCTATCGCTCGAACGAGGTTTTTTGATTTTCTTCATTTCATTTTCGATCGCAATCTGTGCTGATTGATTCAATTTCACCTGCGCTTGAGACGGAATTTTCTTTACATCTTTCGTAGGTGGATTTTTTCTCGGGTCCGATGATTTTGATGCATGCACATTTGGATCATTTAAATTCTTCGGTACTTTAAATCCTCCGGTTGTCGGTAATTGTCTTGTCATTGCAACGGATGTCGGTGATGAAAACTGCTTGCCAGATGACGCTGATGTGATATTTGATACATTTGAAGTGGTTGGAAGAGTTTTAATTGCTTCTGATTTTATTGTTGAATTATCGGGATTTGAAAGTTCAAGTTCTTCTGCTTCCTAAGTGGTCATGCAATTAAAATAATTTTATTAGATTCACACGTTATGTCCCAATAGTTATCGACTTGAATTTCGCAGTTTAAAGTCATACATACCTTCCTTTTCCTCCTCTTTTTATCACGACTGCTTATATGAATCACAAAGAACGTGTAAGTAAACAATATCATTGCAGGCACAAGAACCTAATAAATTAAAAAAAAAAAAAATTAAAACACGAAGTTCTAGGAATATGATATTAACTCATCATTTATCTCATACTTACCCCAGCTAATATTGTTGTTTTCTTTTGAATAACATGATACAAAGCCAAGCACATGAGCGATAAAAAAATTATTATGGCAATTGATCTTCCTGTTGCTTTACGCTCCTCCTACATTGAAAATATTTTCATTAAAATTTTTTCTTGTATACCTTTTCGTTTTCATTAATGACTTACTCTTGCTATTTCAGTCTCTTCTTCGACTTTCTCTTCTTCCTTGATTTGCGAGTTGGATAAAATTGTGATGATTTATTAAGAATTTTACAGAATTTAATTTAATTGATAATTTAATGACATTGGCAAGCGAAGAGCTAATGGAAGGACTATACAGACGTTCAAATCTAGGATTAACTTAGGAACTAAGAGCTCATGACTCTGTATTTATTTAAGACTTTTCTAGATGAGTCTAGGATAAAGCATTGCTCAGTAATTCAAAATAATTCAAAAATTCAATTATTTTTTAAATTTCTTCTAAATCATCAATTGATTGACTGAAATGGAGCACTAAGTCAGGTCAATAAACTTGTTTGCCTTTATTTTTTTAGCTAAATAAAATAAAATATTTTTCAAAAAGGAAATATAGCACAAACAGATGATGAAACGTTCATGAATAGAATGAGGAATTTAAATGCTTTCAGGAAAATAACAACTGTAAACATTCGATGGATATGAGTGTCATAACAGGAACCAATTTAATGAATTTCACGTACCACAATATTATTATTATGGCTAGTTTTCGGTATTACATTGCTAGTTGAATTAATCAGAATTGGTGACATTTTGGAACATGCTCTACACTTCTTCTAAAGTGATCAATTAAACACTTAATTAAAGAATCAATAAAAAGCACGAAAAAAGCAATAAATCCAGCTGAATTTAATATCTTTTTTATAAAGTCCCCTTCCGTTTTAAAAAAAAATATCACTGAAGAAATAAAGAATTTCAGTGTGAATTACGCTATTGCTCCGAGAATACTGATCAATGTATGTGAGAAGAAAAGAAGTAAGTAAATTTTCGAGTAATTTATAACTAAAACACGGTATGGCAATCTGTTTAAAATCATTTTTTAATTTTCGTGGCAATAAAAGTTTCAATATATAAAAAATAACATTGATTATTTCTTTCAATTGAAGATTTGACTTTACACACGTGTAATTTCTATTCTCGTATCATTTATAATACATACTCAGTAACATGTTTATAATTTCCACGTACTAATGTATGCGCCCTCAGATGTGGAAACTATGAGACTTTTCCAATATTTTAGTATTTTCAGATGCTCATGAATCAGCAAGAGCAATTAATTTTCTTTCAATGAACGATTCTCTTTAAACGTAAAATAAAAAAAAATAGGAAGCAAATGCTTTCATTCATAAAAAAGATTCTTCATGCTTAGATAATGAGTTTGAGGGTATTTTGAGTGAATATTGCTATCATCTTCCGTAAGATATAAGCCTAATTACTATAAACTGACTAATTATTTAAATATGTAAGTTAATTTGTTTAATTAATTAAGGCACGATGGGGGTATGTCAATGAGTAATTAATAGGTATATATTACATATTCAGCATAAAACAAGAGGAAGACGCAATAAACATTTCGGAAAGTGATTCACGGGGTGAAAATATAGGAAAAGAAGTGAGTTTGTAATTTGGAATGCAAAGAATTTCTTTTGAAAATAAACACAATTGGCATTTATTTTGTGCCTTGAACAGCTTCCTTTTTAATGCGTTCACGTGTGACTTTGAACAGCCAACAATTAATTCATAAACATGTTGTGTATTCACAATGCAAACAATGTACCATGTGTTAATATTTTTGTATTGGGAATTTTCTGGAAACCTGAAAAACTAAGGTTTAAGACTCAACTCAGTAGGTTGTGCAAAGCTATAATCATGTTCGTCGAGCAACAATATTGCAGTTTAATAGTTTCACAAGAAGTTCTTAATGCTCAAAATTTAATTTGAAAAGCATTTGTTATTTTATGGACTTCACACTTGACATGACATGTGTTTCCGGTATTTTCAATTAAATTAAAACTGATAAAGCATAAATTTCTTTCTATATATAATACTTAAGCACCGTAATTGACAGTAATTTTGCTTTGTAATTATAGGTTTAAGACACAATGTTTTTACATATTTTATGCTCTTTTTGTGTAATTTACACATTAGCACTTTGTGTTCAAACACAGTCAGTCGAGGATGAAGAAGCAATCGATTTGTCACATTTGGGATCAAAATTATTTCAGAATCCAAATTTTGAATTTTCCAAAAACTTAAATGCTGATTATCCAGAAGAACAAGGACCATATTTACAAGGTGATTTATTAATTCCAACTGGAAATGCCAAAAATGGAATGAAAAGTGAATCATACAGATGGAAAAATGGGGAAATCCCTTACGTGATTCGTGGTCGTTTTAGTAAGTATAGAAAGTCATCATAACATCCAACTATTATCATTTTCAAACCTTTTAGGTTCAACGGAAATGTCTTTAATTCAGAATGCATTTAATCAGTATCACAAAAGTACATGCTTAAAGTTTATTCCACGTCGGTCTGCTCAAAGTGACTATGTTGCCATAGATAATAGTCAATCAGGGTGTTGGAGTTCTGTTGGCAGAGTTGGTGGTGAGCAAGTTGTAAATCTTCAATCACCTGGTTGTGTAACAAAAATAGGAACAGTCATTCATGAACTTCTACATGCTGTTGGATTTCTACATGAACAGAATCGAGAGGAACGAGACAAATTTGTTTCCATTATTAATTCAAATGTTCGAACTGGATATGAAATAAATTTCAAAAAAGCATCACCTGGAGAAACTACAGGATATGGTGTTGGATATGATTATGGGAGTGTAATGCATTATTCTGCAAAGGCATTTTCTAAAAATGGACAGCCAACAATCAATGCTAAGCAAACGACAAAAGAACAAATGGGACAACGTGAAGGTTTCTCTAAAAAGGATATTGAGAAGATTAATAAGATGTATAAATGCAAGAGGCCAACAGCAGAATCAGATCCATCAATTTTGACATCATCTGAAGCGCCATCAAGTGAATCGTCATTTCTGAGTAATATTTTTCAAGCAATTTTTCCAAGTTCAAACATGGATGAGGAGGAAATGATAGAGGAACAGAATCAATTGTTGCGCTTATAAATTAATGAATTATTTATTTTATTAGTAATGATAGTTATAACTTAATTTAGATCCATTCCAGTTTAAAAATATAATTCAGCAGTTTTCTTTGGTTAATAAATGTCATGAACTACATTTTATTTTTTCACTTCCTCATCACCATGATCCTTGTTGTCGATCATCATTCTTGTCATTATACAGCGGATGAAGTAATATGCCTTACCACACGGATCTGATATCGAGGCTGACACTGAAATATTGGAATCATGATTAGCTATGCTTTATTCTTAATACTACATATGAAGCACTTACCCATCTCCTTATCACAATCATCAACCATTTCTTCGTCCTCGATTTGATACATATTGACAGCCTTTTCTTTATTTACTTGATTATCTTGACTGATAACTCCCATTTTGTTTAGATAGCAGTGGATATAGCACATTGGTACTTTTTCGGATTCATCGCTGAATGAACCGGTATCATTGAGATCTTGAAGATATTCTATGTGGGATTGGTGATGTTAATCAACTATAATAATCATATGGACATTACATACCAGTTTTAATAGGATATGTCTCGTTGCATTGCTTCATGATGTCTGTAGAATTAAAGTTTTCTGTAGAAAAAGTATTAAAGTTTAATTATCCTTAAAAAATATAATTTTTTCATACCATTTGAAGACTTCCTTGTTATTCGAACATTATTAGCAAAGACAAAAGTGGCTGTACAAAAAAAAATTAATGCAACTATGCGTTGACTCATTACTGAAAGCTTTTCAATCACTGTTCTCATAATGGACCATTCTGTGAGTTTTTATATGCAAATGCTGTTGACTTAATTGAGAAAATTATCATGCAAAGCTTTGGCACGTGACATAAAGTTAATTGACAAACAGCTTCCGACAATTTTGTGAATTTGTTCGAAATTATTTCCGAAACTATAAAAAAGTAATTTAAATTATTGCATTTATGCATATAGAAAATAATATTTTAATTTTAATCAAACAAGATTTTATACTTTTCATTTAGATCGAGACAGACGAGCCGCATGAATAGACATGTTTGATATTAAATTAAAAGGCCTGAATGTCATAATGTATTATAAACTTGCAATTCACGCACCAAGTACGCGTAAGGCTGGAGATAAATCAGATTCTAGAAATACTGTGAACATTACTAAGTTCTTGTTTTTTTTTGCGAATCTCTGAAATCTCAGACCATTAAAAAACAGAGAATACGTATGTATAAAAAATTTGAGCTTGATTCGAGCAGTAGAATTGGTCGAAAAATCGATTGCAAGATTTAAACGTGACATACAAAGAAACCAACAGAGCAACTCAATAAAAAGCGTGTAACAAGTCTCAAATCCATAAAAATTTAATTTTGAAGCATCTAACAAGCATTTAACGGACTTAAACTTCAAATCTTAAAAAACTTGCATGCAACCATTTCAAGCAAGTAAATTTAAAAGCTTTAATATTGATATTCAAGGTCTGATTTGAGAAGCTATTAAACACATTTAAAGTTACGAATATGTTTAAAAATATTGTAAATTGAAAAAGCCGGGTAGTGCTTGATGATAAATTTATTTATGATAACAAATTCAAGGTTTTTGGAGTCAATGATCTTTGGGGTCGTTCACTTATGACGTTCGAATTTAACGGTAATTTTTCATAAAAGAACAATGGATTGCCAGGAAATTTCTATTGTTCTTTTCTTGCTGACCCTTCCCCCCCCCCCCCCCCCCCCCCCCCCTATGACTGACGTCATAAGTGAACGGCCCCTTTAATGAAAACTTGAAATCTAATAACCAAGTAGCTATACACTAGTTCCAAGATAATCCGAACTTACACAATTTATTAATTGTAAGCTTTGATTAAATTTTGTAAATCACCAAAAACTAGTTGAATCTGAACCTTGAAAGAAATTTCAACTCGATTTATCTCGAATGACTTTTTATGATGTAATGATATTTATGTAGCATTAAAAACATCGCATGGCTTTTTACTTGGAAGTGAAGTACATGGATTATTTTCGAGAATCTGAATTATTTAAGAAATATTTCATTTTCACTTCAATTAACCTCGTTATGATATTAAAAGACTTAATACGCACTTAAGGTTTAGTCACTTACCAAGTGCAATCCAGTATTTAAAGTTAAAATCAATAGCTTTATATCAAAAAAAGAAAACTTTGTTATTCCCAAAACAAATTTCGCACTGACCAAACAAGCATCTCAATTTAAAGTCATTATTTATTGATAATCGATGTGCGAATTTGCCAAAATAGATGCTATTTTTATCACGTCGGATATAAAAGAAGTTTGAAGTGTTGTGTAATGTGTTTTTAAAAATCCCCACAAAAAGTGTACAAAAGATCAGAAGAGAGAAAAATAAATGATAGATTGCAGAGATTTATTGCACAATCTCTCCCTATTGTCTCATCTGTCACTGCGTGGCCGTCGAGACATTTAAACTTTTCATTATGATTGAATATAAAAACTGCGACACATATTTTTTTGAGTTGGAGAAATTTCACTTTTTGGTCGTGTAAATTAAGTAAGAGATGGAACAGAGACGTACGAAATAAAAAGAGAGAAGCGAGGAGTTAACACATATTGTGAATCAATAAATGAAATTCACACCATTGATATCAGCTTTCGTTCAACCTTGCCTTTGAGTAATGGCTCTTTACGACTTCCCTTCCGCTCGTTGAGGATCTCTTAAATTTTTTTAATGCTGATATAAATTTTGCTCTGTTTACATAAATTTTAGACTGGTTTATGAAGCTGATTTACATGTTTTGGGTAAGGTATTTATTGCGAATTGAAAAGATTCAGCAACAAAAATTTGCTGTCTAAAAATACAAAGTTTAATAACTTTTCAAACAAACAGATATTATGAAACTTTTGACATGTCCATTCAACCTGACACCCGCAAAATTTCAATAAAATATTTTATCTCAGGCACCACAAAACATCATTTGTACATGATCCAAAAACTTAAATTCAACCACCACAAAAAAATGTTTTTTGTTCAACGCATAAATATCACATAAAACTTTTGTTGTTGTTATGTCCAACCGCTTGTCTCATTGTTGAATGCGAAAGTAAATTTATGATTTCAATTAGCATTCATTCCATGTTCGCAGCTCTTTTATTTTCATAAATGGTGCATGCTGTCTCAATCTAAATCACAAACACGCGGTGTGTTTGGACACACAAAAAAAAATTCTTGATGAATTTCAATTGCATGATTGAATTCAAATTTCTATCGCTTCCAAAAATTCTACACAAATTATCAATTTTACCTTTTTCAACCATCCCAAAAAAGTGCGTGACCGCACATTAACCTACTTTTGGACAACATCTTGAAAACTCTTTCTTCTTTTTTGACCATTCGATTTCATTCATTAGAAATAAAAGAAAAGAAGTTAAGCAAGAAGATCAATAAGAAGAAATAGGCATAGAAGAGATAACGAGAAGTAAAAATGTGAAGATGACAAACAAAATAAAAGAAATTTTTGAAAATGAAAAGCTTCATTGGGTTATTGGTGAATTAAAGGTTTATAAAGTATACAAGTAGATCCGATCAGTAAAATTCTTGATAATTTTTAAAGGTTATTCTTGTTTTTGACATTTCAAATCACTATTAGAGCTAGTTATATCTGAAGCTTTTTTAATAAGATTAGAATCAAACCTACAAGTTGATTAGCTATGGTTAAGAAGCTTTATGAACTCTTCAAGAGTTACTCGGGTAGCTAAAACAAAACAAATAAGTCAGATCGGCTTTTGGATAACCGTAAAATAATAATAAGATAGACAACTGTGTCAAGAGGTTGTCTATAGAGATAGATGATACACGAATCTAAAGACTTTTAATGACGTCCGAAATTAACGGTAAATTCTCAAAAAAAGAACAATGGATTTTCAGGAATTTCTATTGTTCTTTTCTTGCTGACCCCCCCCCCCCCCCCCCCCCCCTTTGGACGTCATAAATGAACGGCCCCATACGAAAACAATATATTTAATTATTAGCATGCTTTTATGCATTTATTGCTGCATTTTTCGTGGGCAAGTTCAATGTTTGAATGAAACCGATTATGTTGCATAGACCGGGAAAATAATTCTGCAGAATTCTGAAGAATTCTGGTAAAAAATTCTGATCAATTATTCTAGCAGAACAATATAACAGAATTTCCAGAATTCTCCAGAATTCTGAAAGTTTATTCTGATAATTCTGATGACATTTTTTTTTAATCTACAAAATTAAATTTTGAAGAATTCTGATTCAAGCAGAATTTTTTTGTCAGAATTCTGATCATTCTAAAATCTACTTTTTAAAAAATGTGTATCAAAAATGAATAGCTTTTGAAAGGTTTTATGGGTTTTATTGAAAAAACTTTATTCATTGTGTATGTGTAAAATAATTTTTATGATTTTGAAGCAATGATAAAATAAAATTCTAATGAAATTAAAACTTTTTGGCTTTTAAATCTTTATATGAAAACTACAAAAAAAAAATCAAATCATTCTGTTCAAAAATTCAAGCACATCTATTCGCTTTGCCTGAAGCTCAATCAAATTTCGTTTCAACGGGTCTGATATATTACTTCTATCTGTTGGTATGAAATTTCGTTTTTCAGCAGCAACTGATGCCAAAGAATCGTAAACTAAGTCAATCAATCCGTCGACAAAAACCCACGGTGATGGATTATGCGGGATTTTAATTTTAATAAATCTGTTATGTCCTTCCACATTGTTATTGGTGCGACGAGGACATGCCGATACGCACCAGTCTTCTTTCTTGTAACGCTTCATCCATGTAGATTCAAAGTATTTAATAAACTTAGCAAAATCTAATTTAAGTTCACTTTTCGATGATATACTTCCTTTCAAAGCTAACAGTCCTTCGTCAATTTGATTCAGTGGCAATAATGCAAGACGAGAAAACATCAATAAAGTTTTATGATGCATTGATCCTTTTATTATCTTTGTCGATAATTCCTTCATTTTTCTTGCGTTAGTTCGGAGAGCTTTAGCCAGATGAAACAAACAACCGTTAACTTCCAAATCCGGCCAGACTTTTACTAGAGCATTACGGATTCCTTTTTCATAGTCACACATGGCAGTTATTGGAACACGAACGGTACCATCATATGAAATAAGCGAATCTCTGATATGTTCTAACACTACAGTGTAATCAATTTCTCTTTTAGACGTCATTATAGCATAAGCTATAGGTCTTGGCTTATGGTGAATCTCAGCCATAACTACCAATAACTGTTCCGTTAGAAATGGAGTAACTCCAAATGTTGCATCTATAAAGAGATGAAATGAAGAGTGTAGCTCCGATACCATTCTTAAGTTTCCAAAAACCATTAAATCTTCTTGAACTGTTCCCAGATAAAAAGGCATTCCTCGAATTTTACCATACACTTCGTACATTTCATCGCATTCAAAATAATTTATAAACGTTTGTAGATCTGGGCATGAAGGCATTATTTCTCTTCTTACTCGTAGTAAAGTATGTCTTACTTTATTCCAGTTTAGATATCCAGCTGCTTCGAAACTCAGTTGCGGCAAAAAGTCATCATATATATCTCTTACTGGACGTTTATCAGTCTTTACCATTTGTTTCAATTGGAAATATAATCGCTCATATTCTGCAATATGCATGTGTCTTTCGTGATTGTGTGATACTTCAGTGTTTGTTCGAGAAAAAACTTCTGATTTAATTTTTCCTTTACAGTTGCATAAGTTGTCAATGCAACGATAATAAATAGTTCCATTCTTGCTTTTACCATTTAAAGAATACAGGCAGCTTTCAGTCAGAAAGTAAACATGTGTGGATTCCTTTCCATGATAAAGATCAATTATTTCATAATTTTTAATTAACTGAGACATTGTTGCTAAAATTATAATAACTCAGGTGTCAGAATTCTGCAAGAACGTTTGAAATAATAATCAAAATTATCCATAATTCTGGAGAATTCTGGAAACGTTTTAGCAGAATTCTGATACATAGATTTGTTAGTCTAAATTTACCTTTAATAAAATGATCCGATCTCTTTGAGTATTCGATTGGAAAGAAAGAAAATTTTTTTTTTTCAAGTCTTTTTAAGGCGTAAAATTAACAGAATTTATCAGAATTCTGGTCACGTGGTTTCAAAATTCTGCTACAAGCAGAATTTATTTGTGTACTAATCATTCAAGTTTTAGAACTCGCAGTGCATGGACGTGATAATTAGTGTTTGAATAGTGAATAAACTCTTAATTGGTAATATTAACGTTATATGTAGATCTATTCTTAAATTGGTATGTATCACATAATAATTTAACATAAAAAATAACGTGAAAATGAAAATGGAAAATAGAGAAAATAATTCTAACCACGTGGTAGCAGAATTTTCCAGAATTCTGGTCACGTCCTACCAGAACATCCAGAAATCTGTAAATACTTTTATATGTTTTGGGGCGTATCCAGCGAGCCTATAATTTTATTGAAAAAAAAAAATATTTTAAATGCTTTAACTGGCTGTTTAGCTAACAATTTCTTTTATATTTGTTTTTAGTGACATTTAACATAATGGTTAGTTCTAAAGTAATTGATTTAGATGCTGAGGAGGTTAAGAAAAGTTCTAGAATCATTGATGGATCCGCTCGGTTTATCACTGGTTGTATTTCTGATGCCGAAGTTGCCGAGCAGAAATGCTCATATAAGGAAATTTTTCGTCGAAAACTTCGAGATGTAGTTGGTGGGCGATCAGACTTTTCCTTCAAGGATCCTCCTAGACCAAGTGGATCTAAAAAAATTGCATTTTACCCACAATGTGACCATCAAAAAGGCACTTCCAAAACAATGTCGGTCTCATTTCTTAGAGCACATCATATTATTGGAAATGCCTTGCAAGCGATATTTAAAGTTAACTGTGAATTATGTCGAGGAGAAATTGTACAAAATAATAGGTCGAATGAACCTAATCCTGTTGAGAATAAGAATGCCAATCAAATTGACTTATTTCATCAAGTTTTCCAAACAGTTAGAGATAAATTAAATGCTGCTCTTAATACAATTGAAGAAGAATGCCGTGCCTCACCAAATCCTGTAGTTTATCTCCATGCAAACATGGCAAAATTTGGTTTAGAAACCAATATTGCTCTCATTAATTCTATAAACGCCATACAAGGTATTTAGTTTATTTTATAACAATTTTAAATTTTTTTACATCACTCATTTGTCTTGTTTTTTAATTAGTAGTTAATTCATCACTGCCATCATCTGCTGATCCATCAATCTCTCCGTTTGTCAATCGAGCAATTCCGCCGTTGGTGGATCCATCAACTTCATCTATTCAAGATGTATCATCTGCAGCGTCCACAGTCACACCAATTATATCAACTTCGCCGTCCTCATCATATTCAGTCACGACCTCTTCAGCATCCTCGTCATCTCGATTATCCTTTTCTTCCATAACACCATCATTAGTGTTTGGGTCAAGTCCATTGTCAAAAACTGATGCAAGTGCTGAAAAGTTATTAATTAAGGCTGGAGGTAACCTTATATACCAAGAAACTCCAAAATCAAGTGGAAAACGTTCAGCTCGTGCAGTACTTCTTCAAAAGTTCCAAGCATCCAATATTGCAAAAAAGAATCGTCAATTTTAAGCAAACGCTCAAAATCATGAATAAAGATTTTTTTCAAAAATAATTCATTTTTGATACACATTTTTTAAAAAGTAGATTTTAGAATGATCAGAATTCTGACAAAAAAATTCTGCTTGAATCAGAATTCTTCAAAATTTAATTTTGTAGATTAAAAAAAAATGTCATCAGAATTATCAGAATAAACTTTCAGAACTCTGGAGAATTCTGGAAATTCTGTTATATTGTTCTGCTAGAATAATTGATCAGAATTTTTTTACCAGAATTCTTCAGAATTCTGCAGAATTATTTTCCCGGTCTATGCAACACTCCCAATGAAACCGGTTATTCATTTCCAATTCATGACTTACATTCGATGCAATCAGCTGATTTTCTTACATTTTTTACGATATCGAATCATGAAACTTTTGTGTATCTTTTGAATACATTGAGTAAGCATGAGTTCAGTGTAACTATTAAGGGTGCTAATTGTATATAATTGAAGAAAGTATTCGACTTCAGAGAGGATTTCCATCAATCAAAACTTAAAATATTGAATAATAAACGGTTTTAAGTGTTCTATAATTTGATTATTTCACTAGCACTTAAAACTTAATATTTTTCGTTTCACTTTCAATCGGTAAATTGGCAAAAACAACTAATAATAGCGGAATCACCAAAATACAAAGAAAATTACAATAATAATTATTTTAATTGCTAAAATTTTACTTTCAAGAAAAGTTTCGTTTTCATTTTCCATGAAAAGGCAACAACCAGTGAAAGAAACTTCTTGGAGCATGATAATCACTGTCTAACTTTGAATGAATTAATACTTTGCTTCTTATTTACGTATCAGCAGCTGTTTTGCTTACGTTTGTGTAAACAAATTATACGACAACAACTGAGGCTGTTTACTGAGTAGATATTATGGAAAGTGAGATCAAGTGCTAATTTAATTATCAATGAATTAAGCTACGGATTCTGATTTATTAATATATTTTCTGTTTATGCTTTTTTTAAAGCAATTAAGTCGAATATTTTGTCATTTCCTTAGTTTTAGAACCTTTGTCGCTATGAAATTTGTAGTTTTTAAGGTATCACATGTGTAAATAAACCAGAATAAATTAAAACTTAATTTGATTATGTGGCTTAACATTTGGAAAAAAAAACCAAATTAGATGTGACAAAAATGCTGACTGAAGCTAATCGATGATAGGTTTAAGAACATACAATTTTAGAATTTTTTTTAACATATTAAAAGCTTAAAATACCATGCTTTTTACTGGACATTTCATATAAAAATTCACCGCTTTATTTGCAAATCACGTTTCGATCTTTAGCAGAAGACCATTCAATGATCACTTTTAAATGACAGATTGCATAATTGTCAGTGCCTCATGTTATAATAAATTTTCATTTTTCATCGCTAATTGATTTCTGTTAACGAAAATCCAAAAAAACAAACAGAAACTTAAATTCATCAGTTCGAGTGCATCGTTGAGTCCAGTTGTATGAGCGAGCGTATATCTTTGTAGTCTTTTTTGTTTCTTCTCCAAGTCTCTTGAATGTTTCCTTCATATCTGCTTTTTAATACTATAAATGAAAAAGTTTTAAAATTTTTCTTTTCAGTTCAGTTTGTTCGCTTCTTCGCGCTTGTACGAGCCATAAAGATTTCGTGTTGTGGTGTTAAGAAATAGATTAAATTTTAGATTGTGAAGAGAAAATTGATTAAAATAAACTTAAAAATCTAAAGAAATTCAATTATGATAGTTTTTGTGTTTTTTCTGACTGTTCTGATAGTCTTTTTAGTTCAGAGTTATTTTCAGCATAAGAAATTTTATAAATTTTCTGAAAATATTCCATCGCCACCATCTTTCGGATTACTCGGTCACGCACCATATTTTTTGGGAAAAAATGAACAAGGTTGAAATTAGAAAATTTGGACCTTAAAAAATTATTAAGTGATTAAAAATAATTTCAGGTCGTCTTGAAATGCTCCATCAACTATGTCTGGAGCAAAAGACATATACAAAATTATGGTTGGGTCCAGCAATCATGTGGATGATCGTCAATGACCCAAAAACCATCCAAAAAATTCTCTTGTCACCAGTGTGTCTGGAAAAGCCGTTCTTTTACAAGTTCTTACGATTGGAAAATGGATTAATATCCGCTAAATGTATGTTAAGTTATTTTCAATGTAGTTCAGTGTCGCATGAGTGGAAATAGAAAGAAGAAATATTGTCGCATTATAAAATGAGTGAAATTAAATAAGATCTTAATGACTTTAAAGAACAAATGTTTGAAAACTTATGACACAAGTGCAGCTTATGGATAATTTTGTAGTGGCTTGCTGATCAAAATAATTATTATGTCGCAAATTATTGAGTGTCAGTGCTGTAATTATAAGTTATTGTCAGCTGTAAGAATGACAATCACATGCTAATTAAGATTCAATGTTGATTTATTCATATCAATTAACTGTACCTCAATATCCCACCTTAGATTCGTGTGAAAAGCTTATCAATTAAAATTGATGTTTAAAAATAATGATAATCATAAAGCTTTATGCTACTCAAAAATTAAAGTGTTGATTTAAATACCATGAAGTAAAAATTACCATCATATGTCATCTATACGACCTTAAAAAGAAAACACAACCAGGCAAAATATGTTTTTAAAACAACAGATAAAAAGAAAAGAAAAAAATGAGTTATTGTTTGATTGCCGATAATTGAAAAGTATGTTGGGGATCGTTCTCTTATGACGTCCGAAATTAACGGTAATTTTTCAAAAAAGAACAATGGATTTCTTGGAATTTCTATTGTTCTTTTCTTGCTGACCCCCCACCTCCCCCCCTTGGACGTCATAAGTGAACGGCCCCTTGAGGTGCTTCATAAGAAAAATACCAAAAATGTGTGTCTGAAAATATCTTTAAGTGATGAGTATGATGAAGTCATTAAGTTGATTTAAAGACATTTAACTTTATGGACAGAAATTAAATGAAATTAATCTTGTGAATTAGCAGCTGTACATTACAAAGTGTCAATTGGAAGTTTATTTTGTGGATCGCAAACCAAGGGTGTGGAACTGATAAATTACATTTTGATCATTTTTGACCATTTCATAAGTACCACACCCTTGTCACAAACGAGTGCCTCTTTAATTCCATGAACTGTGTTAAATGATTTAAAGTTCAACCATAAAAAGGAAACACCAAATTTTATGCAAATCAGAACATAAGAACGTCCAACATTCTGCGTCTAAAGATTTAAATTGTAAAATTTCTATAAGTTCTTATAATACGACAAATCTACAAACCACACACTGATCAGCATGACAATATCTTTTAATTCTGTCATTTAAATTTTATCTATCTTTTTCTTGTTCTGTAAACCAGATGATGTATGGAAAATCCACCGAAAAGCCCTCAACTATTCATTTAATCTTCGAATTCTTCAAACTTTCATTCCAATTTTCGTTGACAATGCTCAAAAACTTATCAACGATATCTCAGTAAATCTTGGAAAAAAGAAACAATTTGACTTGCTGCCCTATGCCACAAAAACAGCTCTCAACATGATATGCGGTTAGTTTTCTTTGTAATCTCACTTAATCTTTATACTCAACCATTGTGCAATCGCGCAAAAACAACAGCGAGAGTTTTAATTCTCTTATCATGATGTGAACAAGTAATTCAGTGACTTGTTCAGCAGAGAAAAGAGTTTTGAAAAAAGTCATAAATTGTTATGAAATTTTCTCGCTATAAATTAAATTTATTACTGATTAATTCATTTCATAATTCTAAATTAGGTACTTCATTCGGGTTAGACATTAAAAATGTTGACAGTTCACTGATTGGAGACGATGTTTTTCATGCACTGGAGAAGTAAGTTGAATAAATATTCTATTTTTAATTTTAGAATTTTATGAAGTATTGAGCTTGAAACGGACATACATAAAGAATTACAATAAGATTTTTTTGCATACTTACATCCAAAATTTAAAGAATCTCATTTCATTAAAACACTTCAAAGAGAAATTCAATGTTTTCTTGCCACGATAGTCAACAGCTACATCAATGCATAAAAATATAAAGCTTGATGATTTGCATTATTTAAATTCAATAATTTGGATAGCGTAAATAAGATCGATGAGCTTACTTGTGAACAAACAATGCTAGTTAATCAATCTAAGATGTTTTGAGCATAAATTATCAATTTTCTCAACGGCCTGTAGTGATGTGGCGTCAAACACATTTTTCAAATTCTTCTTCTGTTTCTTTTCTTCATATTATTTTGAAATCTATCAATCCAATGGAATCCAGCAATTCAAAACAAACAGCTTAAATCCACAAAGTTCCAAACAATACTGACAGAGCGTTGAAAATCACAATTTAATCAATAATTAATTTTAAAAAATCATTCAAGCTGAAGAATCATGAAGCACAGCAACTTAAATTCCAAAATATTTGAAAGTGCTCTTTTAAGATCACAGATAAGTCACAATCTACTTTTCCTAATTGTTAATTAATTTAGTGAATGTAAATTTTTTGATCCAAAAGTGTAACACGGTGATTTTTGGTTCCTCTTGTGCCGACATACAACTTTTTGAAGGAGAAGACTTCCCAAATTGTGTCATGCAACTGCTTAATTCTTATGTTATGGAGTAATTAAGAGGAAAAGAAGCAAATTCGGTGAAATTTGAAAGCATTTTTTTTTGTGCATTTTTGAACCAAAAAATTTCTTATTATTCAGCTTGATCGACCGTTGCTTGAAAATAGAGTTTTCGTAGCTTTGTGTTAAAAAGCGCGCAAATCCATGAAATGTTGATGGATATTGTTCACTTCTTCTTTACTTTTTGTTATTGTTTATCGATGTAAAAAATGGAATTGCATAAAAATGAAACTTTTTTGATTGTTACTGACTTTTGAGGTAGAAAATTAAGTTTTTGTTCCTAAAAATCGGTATTTTTACGGTTGAGTCTACAGAATATTTTTATGCTCATCTTTTGAGATGCTGATTTAATTTTGTCTATCTCTAAAGAAAGTAGGAAAATCAGTCAAGGTCACTAATGCACTTAATAAGCTCATTATCAATATCGTTGATCTCATTAGACAAATTACAATTATTATGTAAATGTCTATGCATGCAAATGCACATACCAGACATCAAAATTGAATATTATCTAATTAATATGATCAAAACTATTTTGAAAGGCATGTGAATTCATTTAGAAATTTTTGCATGTTCATGCGATGTCGATGACCTAATGATGGTAATTGACATATTAAGTTCATGTTTTGAAGCTTGAAAAGCATTCACAAATTGCTTTCAACTTCAGATTCATATAATGGCACTCTACATTAAATTTCACCTAATTTATTAAAAGTTTTCTTCCTTGCCTGAGTTATAAGCCAAGTAGCTCAATCTATTTACTTTCTGCTTGAAACTAATATTTCAATTTAAGAAGATTTCGGTGATTTTTTTTTTCGGTATTAAAAGCACGCGAATACTTTTCATTTTGTTTCTTTAAAAAACATTTCTCTAAATAGAAATTTGTTTGTCTTGGCGGCTGTCTTGGTTGAACGAGGCTGTAAAAAGTGTGCAGAATGACTATATTTAGTAACACAAATAGATGAACAGTTTTCTATGCTAATTTTCTGTATGACGAAATTATTATCATCAAAATGTTTACTTCCGTAAAATGAAGTATGTGAATCTTTTACTAATATTTCAACTATTTTGAGCTACTTTGAAAGACTCGAGAGAATTTTTATTATGAAGTTAAAACCAAAGTCTGGATCTGTAGCTTCCTAGCACGCTTATCACTTTTTGGGCTTCCCAGTGTCTGTAATGGTGTAAAAAAAGATATCTGTTGTGAAAATAAATTCAGCTTAAGATTGAGGATGACCCTAGAAATCGATTCCAGATATACCCCCCTGAACTGTCACTTAACTCAGTTCCATTCAATAAGAAAAATATTCATTCAAGAATTTACCTCATCAAGAAATTAATTTTTCAAGACACGCAACTCTCATGACATAAATTTCTCAAGTGAAAAGATAAAAGTGAGTCCAAAGAAATGAGCCATTAAATTTGTCGCTATTATTCCAGTTTTTAATTAGCAATAGCCAATGATGAGAACTAATGTGAACTGCTCATTTTTGCATGCATGCCACTTTGCATTACTCTTAATATGCAAAGACAAGTGATTTTGTTATGCAGCTTATGTACATGTCTGAAGATTTGTGTTTGACACGATATTATTAATGAGTGGCAGTCACTCGTTATCCTTTTTTCTTTCACATCAGCTGTCGTGAACCTTCCAAGAATTAATAAACAATTTTCTCCTTTTTCAGACTTAACAAAATCATTTCCGCAAGAAGTCACTCATTTTTATTGTACTCGGAGCCAATTTACAGAATGACAAACTATTACCGTGATGAAATGCAAGTCCGAAAAGTTTGCTACTCATCAGCTGATCGCGTAAGTATCTCATTCAAGAAAATTGGTCTATTTATCATCATTTTCTTTTCTCTTCTCATCTCCACTAAAAGCTCATTACAGCAAAGCGCGAGACTCTCTCACCTGACTTTGATTTCAACGCTAATAGTGATCTAATTGAGAAGCATGTTATACAGAAATATATGAACAAAGAGAAGAGCGTTGATGATGACATGCCAACAAGAAAGATTTTTATCGATCATGTAATTTGTAATGATACAAAATTCACTGATTCTGAAATTCGTGACCATGTTTATACGGTTGTTGCTGCTGGAAGTGAAACTACAGCTTTACAAAGTTCTCATACTAGTAAGTTTACTAATTAGGTGCTAATTTCATGCTGCTTATCTGATATTTTTCAAGGGTTGATGATTTTTTTTTCAACTTTTAACTTAATTCCCATTTTTCCCATAGTCATGCTACTCGCTACTCACCCAGAAATTCAAGAACGCGTTGTTGCTGAGATAAAAGAAGTCTTTTATTCTGATGAAGTTGAGATGAGTTATGATAATCTTGTAAAATTGGAATATCTTGAGAGGGTTATAAAAGAATCACTTCGACTGTGTCCAGTTGTTCCAAGTAAGTTTATTGTTTGGTATTTTTGTGAGATGAAAAATATTTACTAAAGTATTTAGATGCTGGTTTATTATTAAATCGCAGTAAATTCAATGTTTGAAGCAGGCAAAAGTTTTTCGAGAGATTGCATAACAGGCGAGCAACTTCCTGTCAAATTTTGGTTAAGCTCACAACATTTCAAATTTAACAAGTTAATTTACATAAAAGTATTTTTGCTATTTAAATTTAATTGTAAAATTCGTAAAGCCACAATAAACAATGTGGATGATACAATGTGACGAGCTTGTCTGTTATGAAAAGTACTGTAAATCACACCTTTTAGCATCTTAATTTTACAAACATATTGGATTGTCACCTTTAATATTAAAAATTTATCTTACATTTCTTTCACATAACTTTAATTGCTGTTGTCGGTGATTTCTGTTTACATTCTTGTTTGCATTGCATAAACAGTAATTGGAAGAGAAACTCAAGCTACAATGAAACTCGGTAAGTCCAAACTATAAAATTGTTATCATTATCGTAATACCACGTGTATTGGAACGATAATTTTGTCATGCTTAAATCCATAAACTGAAGCTTACCAATAAGTCTCATAATGTTTTTCGAATTTCACAGATGAATTTGAAATACCAGCTGGAATCACATTTATCATCAATTTCTACACGTTACATCGACGACCTGATATTTGGGGAGATGATGCTGAAGAATTCAATCCGGATCATTTCTTGCCTGAACATGTTGAAAAGAGACATCCATACAGTTTCCTTCCATTCAGTGGTGGACAACGTAATTGTATTGGTAAGAATATTTAATTCTCACGAATTGCAATTTTTAACAACAAACAATCATACTGATTAATCTACTTGTCATCAACAGGTTATCGCTATGCAATGATTGCATTGAAAGTTCTCCTCGTTTACTTGCTGAGAAAATACAAATTTTCAACAACAATGACATACAAAGATTTGCGTTTCCGTACCGACATCAACCTTAAGTTATGTACAGAACATTCAGTCAGCATTGAGCTGAGGCAGTAACTACAAAATTGACATTCAATTTTGTTTTGTTGACACATTAAGTATTCTTAGGTTTAACTTAGTCATTCATTAATTGAGTTTTTGATGATTTTATTGTAACATACTTCCTTTAATTGTTGTGTATATCAAGTTTTTATGGAATAAAGTTAGCAAATATTTTTAACAGACATAGATTCTCCTTCTGGACTGTTTCAATATTATTCAGACATTATCTGAATCATTTAAAATCCCTCGTTGACAAAAAAATTTCAAAAAATTTAAACATTTCCATTATTTTTTTTACTAACCAAGCTTATTCAACACATCAAAAGTAACCCGAATCTTTGTATACAATTTGCATGCGAAATGAGAAAAATCAATAAAAATATCGAAGAAATCTCTTAAGAGGTTTTTAAAGTAAGCGAAGTACTACAAGGTAATTAAGCTATTGCGATTAATTCAATTTTAATATAACTTAATTATTGAAAATGTTCGCGAACTTTTAATGGAACCAACCAATAATCTTTAATTTGTGGAACGAAGTAACTTATAAAGTTTTTAGCTGGATTCGTTTAAGTGTTTTTTTTCGGTCATGTATATGCAGTTTTATATTTAATTTAAGTCCAATATTTTTGTGGACACAAGACACCATTAAGTCATTAGAAAGGCATACGTAGTTCATAGTTTGATTAAAAGTTAAACTTTTATCATAGACTTTACTTTTTATAAACAAAAGGAAATAAAAGATTGAAAAGAATTCAATGGAAATCCATTCTTCAGGAACCAATAAAAGTAATCAAGCACATCCAATTAGAGAAACCATAAAAATTCAATTCACACTTCAATTTGCATTGTTTTTTCCAAGGGTGTGGTACTGATGAAATGATCAAAAATGATCAAAAAAATTATCAAAAATGATCAAAATTGATCAAAAAATATCAAAATGTAATTCTTGAGTTCCACACCCTTGGTTTTTTCTCATGATATATTTTAGAAGTTCTGCATATGAATGACAAAGCTTTTAAAGTATTTAGTGTAATAAAACTTAATTGTTTTGTTATTTTTTTTTTTTTTTATGATGTTCCTTATTGTTTCACATATAATACAGAGATGACCGAAGCTTTTGAGATTAATCATATCTTTTAAGTCATACATCTTCTTCTTGTCTCTTAAATACATTATGCAAGACTCGGATATTTTATTTCCAGATGACAAATTGATTTACGGAAGTAAGAAAGACATTAAATTTCATCTTCAAAAAATTAGATTTATTTTTAACTAGTAAACATTAAAACTGAAATACACGTGTCAAATTAGCACGAATTTGACGTATTTTATTTTAAAATAAATTCCACAGATTGACATTGGAACTGGAAGGCGTTTAAAATTGAAACATTTTCGATACTTTCAAATTTAAAAATAAATATTGACAGCTAATTGAGTTGAATATTAGTGATTTTGCAGAAAAATATTTGTTGTAGCCGCAAGCACATGATTATGAAATGTAACATTTACTTATAAATACTTTTAAATAATGTCAATATTTTTGTGAATTTATTATTTACAATAGCGATGCCAATTCAACATCCACATCTTTTATCTCATGTAGGATCATCTCTAGCTAGTAAATTTGGAAATGATATCTAACACAGATAAACACTCGGAAGTATGTCGATGACACTCTGAATTGAAGACAATGTTCACTAAATGAATAAAATGTTTTTGAGTCAAAAGGGTTTGAAAAAACCATGGCATTTCCTCTTCTTTTATGCTTATTAAGACTGAGAGTTTATAAAGTGTGTATGTGAGTCTGTTTCTTTATTTTTAAACTGCTGAAAATTTCGTACATGCTGAAAATAATCTTATCGGAACGAAAAATTTCTCCAAAAATGTATCTCACGTAATCGCTTGTAAGTAACGTCTGCAATTTATTAAGTTTGCAATTTTGTTCAACAAGCGCATTTGAGATATAATAAAGATGACCAACTTGGTATCATTTTCATAATACATTAATTTTGAGGAAGTATCATAAATAAACGGACTTAATTCCAACATAAAAATTAATTTTGGCATTGTTTCTCAGAAGGAAGTCATGTGAATTTGTCAGTGTCTGTTGAATATTAAGTTTTTGTCAAATATTATGATTTTAGGTTGGCATTTTGGGAAATAAAAAAGTTTTCACGGTTTTCAGAGTTTAATCATACAGATTAGTTTTTGATGGACATTCATTTTGTGATTATGGTTTTGTATGAGGAAATGTTTCTTCTATTTAAAAGTTCAGGTAAAATCTGAAATTGGAATCAAACTTTGGAAAAATCTCATTTTCGATTCAGACCTGAAAGTCCAGCGCATTTTCATACATTGTAGTCACATAACCGGCTATTAACCAGTCAATGAGTCATGTGAGGCACGAGAAGAAAGTTAAGAGATGAATTGGTCTAGAAAACGATTTAAATTGTCTGCCTTGAATGTAAACAAGATTGCTACGGCTTCTCTTCATCTTTTCTTCTTTTACCACAGTCTTGAGTAACTCATGATGACTGAAAACAGTTCTTCTTATTTTATCTCAAAATTACCAAACATAAAATTCTCTGTCAATAGCTTTATTAATGCTCAATTGCCTAAAGTCACTAAAGATTATTCCATGAAGTTTCTCACGTATTCTCCCATTGAAGTTACTTTTTTCGCCCGAGTTTTTATTGTTACTATAAAAAAAAATGAGAAATAAAAAAAAATTAAGAATGTCGTACAAAATGAGCTTATTTGGCAACAAGAAGAGGTAGTTTTGATGGTTATGAGATTAAAAAAATTCAATTAATCATTTATGTATGTGATTTTGAAAAGGTGCCGCTATTTTTGAGCATGAAATTTTACAAATGTTTGAGGACATAAAATGATTTTAAACCGAGCCTATATTTGATTGTGACAAATTTTGTTGATTACAATTTCTTAATGAGCTTGATAAATAAACACCCATAAACACAATATTCAAAAGTATAAGTTTAAAGCCGTAACAAAACAAAACATTATTGGATCTAAACCCCATCTTGAATAATCAGTCTAAAGCAAGTAAAAGCAATTAATATTAGTCTAACGGAACTGCTTTAAAAAAATTCAATTAATAACTGAAAATTCAAATGATCGTGAATATAAATGATCCAAAATCATAAAAAAATTAATCAACATCGAAAACTCTTAAAGCTTTAAAAGAAGAGAATTAAGTCATTGGAGCAAATAATTAATATCGAATCAATTTCCTGGAAGTTCGTATCATTTTCGTAAAAATTTCAATTTCTATCTTTCAGTTTTACTTTCATGGAATGTTTTACTGATGAATATACCTTTTAATTTCAGACTTTTCTTGTGTAAATGATCATCCATAAACACAATAAGTCGTTTATGATTTTTTCTTCTTTAAAAACTGTGTCAAGAGTTGCTGGGCCAGTGATCAAAAAAGAGATTTCTTCTTCATTATTTTGGTCTTCTGGTTCATTCGTTCAGTTATCTATATGCTCATTTTTTTTATTTTTCCTCCCTTTTTATGCGTGCTGTATATAATCCAGTGAATAATAAAAACAAGCGTTAAGAGACACGACGAGAGAAAATCATGAGAGAAATTTCTCCAAAAATTTTTTGATTTCGGAGATCATGCATGTAGATGCGACCAAATATAAATGTTTTAAGCATGAAGTAATGCTTTTTGATGAACAATTAGCGTGTTTATTCAGGAACGGAAAATCAGAATAACATTGAGATTTATGTAAAATCAATAATTACTCATCTATAAAGTCATTAATTACAACATCCACAGACAAAATTAAAGTAATTTTAGGGAACTCGAAAAATATTAAAATTATAACCGATCAGTACATATTGAATTGTTGTCAATAAAATGATCAAGCTGAAGTGGCAACTGCTTAGTTTTCCACAATATGGATAACATTTCAATATGTACTGATCGGAATAGTCAGAAGAATTCAAGCATTCAATCATAAAGTTTTAAATTAAAACAAAAATTAAGTATTTTGTCATTGAAATGGGTTCGGATTTTTGGAATTACATATTTTGATCAATCAGGTTTTGGTTGAATTATTCAAAATAATAATATTCCCAGTTAAGCGATGAATGCTTATGTTGATTAGATATTGAAGGGTTCATTAATTTTTGATTCTAGGTAAGGGAACGAGAAGCTTAAGAAGCAGAAACCATTTGACATTCACAAATGCACTTATGCTTTGAGAAATTAGGAGGAATAAATTAACAAGTCGTGAAGCTTTAATAAAAATTATTAAGCTATTAAACATCTGATCAGTCAGAGTCTCTAATTAATTAATCACGATTCATAAAACTATACTAACGTGTGAGTTAAATTTAGCATGTAATGTCCATTTCTCAAATTATCAGGAAACTAGTCTTCACAACAAATCATTCGCAAAAGCAATTAAGTCACTTTCAATTTCCTTATCATTTTCTCTTGCCTGAGTGCAAATTATTATGTGCATATTCTTATAAAAGTAATTTAATCCACATTTTCATTCATGACTAGTCTACATCTTCTTATTTTATGTCTCAAAAAACTCGCTACACACAGCAATTTTTTTTTCTTCTCCACCTCAATCACTCCAATATCTCTGCATAGTAGCTACAATATAACTCAAGCTTGTTATATGCAAGTACGTACTGACTAAGAAGAAGGAAGAAAAGAAAAGTAAAAAAATACTGAGTCTTGAAAAACAAAATATGCTCGCAGTTGTAAGTAAGTCGCGTTGCTGATCGGATCAGTTTTACACCGAAAAAATTGCTGTTGTCTTTTATATCACATAAAAAGAGCACAGGTGCTCGATAAAAAAATAGAAAATAATTTTTTTAATTGTTTATTAATTGTGTGTGATCGATTGTGGATTAATAAGTGAAATTAGACATGATTATTGCCGTATTTTTAACAACTGTTTTAATTGTGTTCTTAATTCAGTGGTATTATGAACGAAAGAAGTATTATAAATTTGCTGACTTAATTCCTTCAGCCAAAAATTATGGAATTTTAGGACATGGACCACACTTTTTGGGGAAGAACGATGAAGGTTGTAAATTAAGTTTTTTGTATCATCGAGAAAGTGAAATTAACGTTGTTCCTCATTTTTTCTCTTTTATACTCAATTAACATAAGTTTAGGGCGTTTTAAATTGCTTCATGATTTGTGCCTTAAATACAATCATTTAATAAAATTATGGCTTGGACCAGCAATTTTGTGGGTCCTTGTGAACGATCCAAAATCAATCCAGAAAGTGCTTTTGTCGCCTGTGTGTCTTGAGAAGCCGTTTTTCTATAAATTTTTACGGCTTGACTCAGGACTAATATCGGCGAAATGTAAGTAGTTTGTGAATTGATTCTTAGGAGATTCCCAGTGTCTTGTGATTTATTGTGACTGTAAAATAGCTTATTTATGTAAATTTGACAGAATTTGTTTAATAAAACAAATTGTTGAAAGTCACGCACAAGATCTGCGACAGGAATAAAATTATCTGAGCTGAATTCTCATCTATGCTTAACGCTTCTAGATGATGTCTGGAAAATCCATCGTAAATCCCTCAACTACTCTTTCAATCTTCGAATTCTTCAAACATTCATCCCGATCTTCATCGAAAATGCCCAAAAATTGGTAAACGATCTTGCTGTAAATATTGGAAAGACCAAAGAATTTGACATGCTTGCCTACACATCGAAATCTGCCCTCAATATGATATGCGGTATGTACTTTTTTGTTTTTATTTTTTTGGGTGAGTCTTTTGTCTTAAAAACTCTCGAATTTTGAATGTAAAATCTATTGATTAGGTTTCAAGGTCAAATTGGAAGTAGATATGAATTTCTGATAGTTTATTGAAATTTTCATAAAAATTTATTATTGTATTGACTTCGTGTAGACAAAAAATACGCACAATTTGCCTCTCTAAAGTAATTTTCTTACTTATCATCTAATATCTCTATTAAGAAATTAGCTCTCCTCGAAATTAAATCTTTAAATACTTTCAAAATTTCTATTTTAGCGTACACTTGTTGTGCGCTCTCAAATATCAGCCTACAAAAAGGAAAAAAAAAATGATTTATATTTTTGATTTTTAATAATTTAATTAAACTTTCGATTTCAGGCACTTCATTTGGACTGGATATTAAAAACATTACAATGGGTGATGATGTGTTTCATGCTCTTGAAAAGTGAGTTATGAATTTTTTTAAACAAATTATAGGATACGAAATTGGCTGTGATTAAATATCGTTAAGAATTACAGCATTTATGAGTCAAAACTGGATATTAATGATGTCTGTATGACAACCTTAAAAACGCAATTTAATGGGATGTCTGCGTGCCACTTTCTTTTATAAAGGTTATCTTGATAATAATGGAAATTTATTGTAAGGGTTTTGAATGTAAACTGGAAGGACGAGGATAGGCTTTGCGACACGAAATAAATCTTATATTAACTGGCTTTGCCTCTGGGAACCACCATGAACCATGTATTTAACAACATGTCTTGATATTGTTCCTTTAACTCAAACACTTAAAAACCCAAAACCATGATAATTTTCCGAAACTTATTGACAGAATACAAGCACGTGCTGGGTGTTGAAAAGCATCTGTCGAATTTCAAAATAAGCCAAACTAATGTAAGTTTATGGAACTTCAAAAATCAGTTAGATATCAGTGCCGTGCTACTTTCTACACATTTAAAGATAAAACTAGAAAAAAAATTTGCTTGCTTATATCCAAACGACTGCAAGGTATCAAATTTTTATGTAATTTTAGTGTCGCATCGGCAATCGTAAAAAAGTTTCTAAAATTGTAAAATGATGCGACTTACAATTAGTGGCAGCTTATATAGCTATTGATCTTTAATATCTGTATGACAAATTTTAACTAAGATAAAACTTTAGCTTCCTACAAAGCGCGCGTAACTTAAACATCATCTTTTAAACAATTTTTTCCAATCTGTTAATTTTCTCTCGAACTGACCACAAAGACCTTCCATTGAGACACATAAGCATCGTTTTGTTGATCATTTCAATATTGAATTATCTTAATGAATGTGCATACTCGTGGAGCAAATCATCCGACTATTTACCTAATTAATTTTTTTCATTATGGATGGACGATTTTATTATCTTGTGACTTTTTGATACTAAAAGTTGCGACTTTCTACCCTCATATCCGCAATCAGTACAAACTGTCAATCCAGTCAAAAACCCGACAACATCTTAATCGATAAATTTGAACACAATGTAACCTCATGTATTTTTTTCTAGGCTGAACAGAGCAATTTCAGCTCGCAGTCAATCATTCTTCTTATACTCGGAGCCAATTTATCGGATGTCTAAATACTATCGTGATGAAATGGAGAGCCGTAATGTTTGTTATTCATCAGCCGATATGGTAATTAAAATTCCCATTTTTTTTGACATAGAGTAAGAAGTTGATTAAGTTATTATGCGGTAGCCAAATGTTGTTATGGCTCGCATAAATAATTTTTCTTCTTGCCCATAGCCATCAAGCCGCACATCAAAAATAGAAATAAATGTTTATTGTTATTTGCAGATCATAAAAGTTAAACGTAAGGCATTGGAGGATGAAGAAAGTGCCGATAACAATGACCATGAGCACAATGTGGATACTGATGAATTATATCGTGAGTCACTGGAAAGATTTCCACAATTGCGATCACTTAAGAAAGAGGACGTAATTGATCAAATAAAGGCGAGTCTACAAAAGAAGGTCACACAAGCTGGCGATGAAGATATGCCAACAAGAAAAATTTTTATTGATCATGTAATTTGTAATGATACCAAGTTTACTGACAATGAGATTCGCGATCATGTTTATACGGTGGTTGCTGCTGGAAGTGAAACTACAGCTTTGCAAACTGCACACACTAGTGAGTAGCTTTGTCATTAACTTTCGTTGATAATTATTGCATGCTGTCATAAATATTGCAATTAAACACGCGATTAAATTTTACTTTCCAAAACAGTCATGCTCCTTGCCACCCACCCAGAAATTCAAGAACGTGTTGTTGCTGAGATTAAGGATGTCTTCTTCTCAGATGCAGTTGAAGTCAATTATGACAATTTAGTAAAATTGGAATATCTTGAAAGAGTCGTAAAAGAATCACTTCGATTATGCCCAGTCGTTCCAGGTGAGTAAATAAGTTAATGCAATCAAAGGTGTGAAGTACAAACCTTTTATTATTGTGTCATATTTTAGTCATTGGAAGAGAAACGCAAGCACCAATAAAGATTGACGGTAAGAAAAAAAAATTTCTGTAGAAAATGAAAGTTTTCAAGAATTTCAGGCATTCGTAATAATAAATAATTGTCTCGGTCTGAATAGATGACATAGAAATACCAGCTGGAATCACGTTACTCATCAATTTCTACACATTACATCGACGACCTGACATTTGGGGAGATGATGCTGAAGAATTCAATCCGGATCACTTCTTGCCTGAACATGTTGAAAAGAGACATCCATACAGTTTCCTTCCATTCAGCGGTGGACAACGCAACTGCATTGGTGAGAAACTTTAATCCACGGATTAAAAATTAATGCTAAGATTTAAATATTAATCCAATTTTTTTTAAATCTTTCGTCATTCACAGGTTATCGGTATGCAATGATTGCGTTAAAGACCCTCCTCGTCCATTTACTAACAGCATACAAATTCTCATCATCAATGACGTATAAAGATTTAAGATTCAAGACAGACATCAATCTTAAGTTATGCACAAAACATTTAGTCAGCATTGAGCCTAGAAACTAAGGCAGCACATCAGACTTCAAATATTTATTGAATCTTCTTATTTGATTGTTTGTTAAATAAGATGGATTTCTTTAAGTTGGATTTTTATTTGTTTTCCCAGTTAAGTCAGTAATTTAAGTGATTATATAGGCATAAGAACGGAAAAGTTGTTAAATAAATAATTTTATTGAGTTTTAAATCTGAAACTTATGTTTTTGACTTTCATGAGCTTTTAATGAGCTTTCAGCGAGCTTTAAGAAATTGAATTATTTTAACGAACAAAAGCTTCAACGGAAAGTTACATGATTCATTTCCAATACAGCTTCAATACTTATTCATCTTTTGTAGATGTGAATGCTCTTATCTCATAATTAAGGTAAGTGAACTTAGTCTCACAAATACAGCTGCATGGAGTCTCTTTCTTTTGGTGAAAAATATAAACAATATGAGATTGACATGAATCATACAAAAATGTGAGTAATTGCAGACATTTGAGATAATGTTGGATAGTTTTATGGGTTATATGCAGTTTTTGATGAGTGATGGGAGTAAGTTGTTATCAGTATGTCTGGTTGTAAATAGTTTGAATGCGTATGTCTTCTTTTGATTCAAATTTCAATATGTGAATGACCCAGAAGTACATTAATTGATATTGGAAGTAAACAACTCCTAAAATAATTTTTTTGATAAGATAAAATTTTTGACACAAAAATATGAACTTTGATTGTTGTCGTAAAGCCATAAACAAGAGCAGCTGTAACCCAAATAATAAATAATGCAAGGCATTGACACTCGAAGCCAAATCACAAAAATTGTCCCTAAGCTTTTCATCAACTTTAGGAGGGATTATTAGTGACATTTAAAATGTCATGTGAAGTTGGATTTTGGGAGGTCATGGATCACAATTGATCTGTACGACCAGCGAAGTAAGTAAGTAAGTTGGATTTTAAAAATTAATTTAAGTTGAAATAATGCGTTCAAAATGTTTTCATCTCCAATAAATCACCTCCGTACTTGACTCTATTTTTGAATGAACGTAAATCCATTTGTTGTAGTAGTTTTACACAGTTTTAGCTTGTAAGTCTCTCAATATTTTTTCACTCAAACATTTTCTTTATTGTTTTTATTTTTCAGTCGCGAGAAGTCAGTCAAGACGTGTAGATTTTTAACACTAGTTGCTCGGAAGTGTCTTAAGCATGACTTTTAATTCGAAAACATAATTTTTTCTGCATTCATGAACTTTTTGAATTTTTGGCAAAATTGTGCAACAGATAATTACAGTGACTAGTTCATTTAAATTGTGAAATATATGTATGTAGTATGATGAATTGATGGCAATGCTTTTATTATTTAGTAAATTATGCAATGAATTTTATAAAGATTCATCCATGCATGAGTTGTTAATTTTCTATGAAAAACTATTCGTAACAAAAAAATGTGCAATTAAAAATGGAAAAAGAAATTTTATTGTATGGAAATGATCAGTTCCATTGTCATAAGGTTCTGGTATAAAACTTTATCTGATGCACTTTCTTCCCATAACATTTCATCATCAACCGCAAGAGAAAGAAAAAAAGTGAGCGAGAGAAGAAAAGTAAAAGTGAAGACCACAAAGCCTTGACTCCAAAACATCACATGTCTCAAGTGCACTGTTACGCAATATTTTAAATATTGCCATCTGCGTTTCAAGGCTCGCTGTATAACATAGTGAAATTAAATTTTTAACAGCCACGATAAGACTTACTAATGTCCATTTATTGAGTTTGATTTTGAATGGACAAATAAATTTTTTTTACGCTGTCTTTCATGCTTGTTGGTTTTTAGCACAGCAATTATTAACATGAATGAGCTCATGATTTGCTCTATAAACAGCTTTTTCTTATGAAATTGGTGATAATAATCATGTTGATCAAATAAATTGACATGAAGAATGTTGTGAAATCTGCATAAGTTGCAGTAAAGGTGTAGTTTGGGTTTGATCTCCCCCACTTGAGTCGATTAGACTTTAAGTTGCTAAGGAATTTGAAGGAAATTTTAAGTTCCAACCTTGAGTTAAAGTCCTGCAGTTTCATTGACATTCTGCAAAAATTTAAATCATTTGCTTTTTTACATTAAATGATGGTGTGACTAAAGGACGACGGCATTAAGTGTCCAATCACTTTGAAACTTTGTCAGAATTAAGTCCACATTACGTCTAATTGCGTCCACCAAAAAGATAATTGTGTCCTATTTCATGTGGCTTGATATAGAAGGTTCCATTTTTGGGTATTATGCCCTCGTACTTCAGGCACACAAATGATGATTCATATTATTTCCAAATCATGTTCTTTAGATAATTGACAATAAATTGTATTATCGGATATAACAACATTATTAATTCTGGCAATTTATGATTTATTAAATACGCAATCTACAATAGAATAGTAAATTCTGTGGCTGTGATAAATAATTGCTTAAATAATCGTCAAATAGTAAACGGTCATCAAAAATTAAGTTCATTATCAAAACTGTAGCATTTCCCACACATTTCAATTCAAATGCATCCAAAATTAATAATTTTATGTCGCAACTGTATGCATTTTATGGAGCATTAAAACGTGACTTGATTTGTGATTAATGAAAATCGATAAAAATTCATCACAATTAACATTAAAATTTGACTTGTTTATATTTTTCGGCTGTTGACGGTCACCATTCAAGTTCAAAGTGATTAAACAAAGAGTGTCCAAGTGGACTTGAAGGAAACTTTAATAAATTTAACTTGAACCTTGGGAATAAATGTTTAATATCTGTTATCTTACATTTTAATGTATTTGAGTGAGAAATTCCACATACGAGTGTAGACATAAGCTTGGGATGTCATATATAGCAGTGGATTTAAATAAGAGAATCATTCAATGACATTTAAAAAGTTCATTTACGATTAATAATTCCATTAATCGGGATTCATCAATAAATATGGAGTTTTTAGATCCAAACAGCCCCAAAAAGAACAATCTGCAATTTTCTCACGCCAATCATGATTATTTGATTCCATAATTAATTAAAAAGCGATGAATTTTAATTACACTTCTTCTGTTTATGGCAGATGGACTTAAAACTCAATTATTCTTCATACAAACCTAATTAAAATTTCAAACAGAACATTTCTCAATTGCCGGGAATGATTAATGTTCTAATGTGATTTTAATGACGCCAGCAGAACTCATTCTTTCCGGTTTAATTCATGAAATGAAAACAAAACATGCCTAATAATTGGAAATGTATTATTGTCGATAATAAGCACGTGTAACAATGAAGTATTATTGTTTCTACAAAAGCATTGAAGAGTATCGTTTTTTGAGGTCTGATAATCTTCATAATTCTCTTTTCGAACGATATCTTTAATCCATAAAAAGTTTCATAAACATAAACAATACCAATTATTGCCAAAAAATCCATAGTCAAAGACATTGCAAAAACAAAGTCATCTTAATAGGCAAGAAACATTGAAACTTCCAAAAAAACTGCAATAGCTAGAAAAACTCGTTCCATCTGACCCACTTCAAACACCTTTAAAGTCAAATACTTAACAGCCAAACGAAAGAGAAAACTATGTGTGATACAAGAAGTGCGGCAAATTTGCCGCTATTATGTCATTTATGCTTTGAGTGTATTTGATCTTTTTCGAATTCTCTTTTATTCTGCGAGTAGATGATGAATGGGATGATAGTTGAAGAAATTGATCTGAACGATCTCTAGCTGCAATTGGCATTGCTATCTTGGCCATTTTATTGGGACTGCTTTAATTTATATGCTTTTCAGGCTAAACCAAAACTCTACTTAATAATCTAAAGCTATAGACTTTGTAGTTGATTTCGGAATTGCCATTTAATTATTTATAGAAGAAAAATCTTGCAAGACGAGGTATTGCAAAATTCATTAATGTGTCATTGAAAATATTCCGGCTTTTTCTCTCGTTTTTCTCTCAAACTTGTTGTAAGCTTAACTTTTTTTGTGTTGTGCGATTTTTTAAGCATCACACCAACTGCAAGAACAGTCAAGTCTTGACTTTTGATCAAACTAGTGTCATTTTTAAATTTCTTACTCTTGAAGCAAGTTAAGTTAATCAGTCCGTAAATAAGAGCACAAGAACAGCTGCCTTTCTGAGCATTGCAAATAATTATTTTCTCAATACAACAATTTTTTTTACATAATAGCAAACAAGCCAGCACAAAAAATAAACTGAGAGAGCAAAATAAGAGAATTAACAACAATTGATTTTGGTGTGCGTGTAGTTGAAAAAATAATAGAAAATAAAAACACAATTTTTTAGTTATTTTCGAGAATTAAGAGGCTACAGGTGTTAATGTGAGGTATCGGAATGGCTGTTTTATTGATATGTAGCATACTATTGACTATTTGTGTAGTCAAATGGGTGTATCGTGACAAAACGTTGTATGATTTTGCTGATAAAATTCCCGGACCTAAAGCATATCCTATAATAGGTAGTTCACACAAACTGCTTAAACAGAAAGAAGAAGGTAAGGATTCAATTTTAGCAACAGATTAATTTTGAGTTTAACCTAGCATTCCAATTTATTTGATAGATAGATTCAACATCGTCCAAAATATGCTTGCCAAATACGAGCAGAATGACATGACAAGATTTTGGCTGGGTCCAGTGCTATTCATCTTCATTAACCATCCAAACTTAATTCAACAAGTGCTGAGCTCATCTGATTGTATTGAAAAGTCGTTTACATATAAATTCTTGCGACTTGACAAGGGCTTGCTTGCTGCCAAACGTGAGTAGAATTTCTTAATGTGTTTAAAATATTTCATGCATGGGCTTAAGTGGTTTGGTAAATTCAAAATTTACATCCTTTATGGATTCGATGACATTCATTAAGATGTGTTCTTTTTGGAGATAAAAACTGGAATTTGTAAAATAAGGAATTTAAAAGTCAAATGTGTTGATTTTAAACCTGATTTGATTGTTTACGTTGAGCTCATCTTATTATGAACTTTTCAAAAAATCAGAGTCACGGTCACACTCTCTAGAACAGTTTGATTGCTCTACTATAGATGTATTATAGTTGGAAATATAGAAAATTATTGTTATTGATTCAATTGGACTTTGAACTCAAGAAACTCAATATTTTTGTTGTGAAATCTTTTGCCTAGCGCTCATTGTATTATAGCGTGTTGATTAATAAGTTAGGGGGTGGAACTTGTTAAGCTTTATATTTCATGGAAATTTTCTTTTGCTGTAACAATTGATTAATATTGTTATAGCAGCTTGACTCTCGGAAAGCGGTCTCATTTCCTCTTGTTACTATTTTACAACCTTCAATTACAGCTTGGATTATAACTTTCATTTCAGACGAATCATGGGTTCACCACCGAAAGTTCTTAGAAGCATCTTTCCAGTTGGATGTGATCAAAAGCTTCATCTCTATATTCGTGGATAGTTCAAATCAAATGCTGACATCTCTTGAAGATCAAATTAATGCTGAGCAGAAGAAAGAGCAGCAAATTGATGTTTTTAAACTAACCTCTCGCTGTGCATTAACCATGGTACTTGCAACGTCATTTGGCACTAGTGCATCTGAAGTTCATTTTGATGATGAGATATTGAAGGCTGTTGAAGAGTGAGAAACTTGATTTTGTGTCATTAGGGTCAAGACTATTAAAAAACTATTAGAACTTGGAGACATTATTCGATGACTTAATGACTGCACTTACCGACTGCAACTTCAGCACATGGAAGACCAAAAATAGTTTGGATTTTTTGACGAATTTTGACTAATTGTTCATTATGATTTCATATCCATAAATTTTTCTAACTTGCTTTTATTCCTTTTTCACTAATTTCTAGGTTAATTAAGATCATTTCACTCAGATGTCATGAACCTGTTTTGTACTTCGAGCCAGCATATCGAATGACACGAACATATTATCGAGAGAAAAAGTATCGAAAGCGTTGCTGCTACTATCTAGATCAGGTCTTGAAAGAACGACGTGAGTTCATCTTACTTAATAATAATATGAAAACATCAGCATCCACAATGACAATGAAAACAGATGTTTCAAGCCTAAAAGATATTGATGAAGAACTAGGCATCATGAATTTAGATGCAAGTAGCACAAACAGTCCTAACAGCAGTTTTATTGATCACTTGATTCTGCACAGCAGTAACGAGTTTACCGATGAAGAAATTCATGATCACATCTACACATTCGTTGCTGCAGGTTACGAAACCGTCGCATTACAAACATTTTTTACTCTTCTACTTCTTGCCATTGATACAGACATTCAGGAAAAAGTTTATGGTGAAATAATTGAAGTTTCAAACATAAATTATGACTCACTGACTAAGCTCAGTTACCTTGAAATGGTAATTAAAGAGTCGATGAGATTATTGCCGGCAATACCTCTTGTGGGTCGAGAAACGCAAGAAGAAATGCAAATTGGAGATCTCACGTTTCCAAAAGGCGTCACATTGCTCATTCATTTATTTAATTTACATCGGAGAAAAGACATTTGGGGCGAGGATGCGCTCCAATTTAATCCTGATAGATTTCTACCTGAGAATGTCGCAAAAAGGCATTCACATTCATTCCTTCCATTTTCCGAAGGTCTTCGAGATTGCATTGGTAAAGTTTATGCAATGTTGGCGATCAAAACAATTCTTGTGAAATTTTTAAGTCATTATAAAGTTACAACTGACTTGAAGCTCGAAGATCTAACGTATAAGGCTGATATTACATTGAAAATATGTCAAGATGCAAAAGTGAATGTCCAAAGGAGATAAGACAAAGATTAGTTTAGTTTATAATAGACACTAAGTTTTTACCTTTTGTGTGGTATTTTTATGAACAAATTTAATTTAATAAAGTAATTTTGATAGATTTTTTGACTAATATTTCTGCATTTTCAATCATTAGCCAAAACTGTCCAAAATTCATCAACATACTGAGTAAAATTGTTAAAAACAACAGCTAGTGATGATTCTATTCCTAATCGTGGTTTTTAAAGAAATTTTGAAATGCTTTATTTTTCAAATAATCCATCTGATGTGTAAAAGCTCAACAACTTCAGGGTACGGAAAAATGCTTAAAACTTTCACAGCTTTTGTATTCAAAAGCACTTCAAATGTTCGAGCAAAAAACATTTGAAGTGTTTTTAAAAACTGAATCACTTTCTTCCACTTAATCCACATATTCAGGAATTTTTCAACGCAATTTGACATCAGCATGCAATATCATAAATCATTGACTGAAATAACTTATTCATACGTTTTAATTATAAAGTTAATTAATGAATTTAAATTACAAAATCCTAGAAAACATGAATTATATGAATCCATGCCAAAAAGGAGGTGTAATGGATGCTGAAATTAATGTTTTCAATTTTGTTGATGATTTATTAGCTTCATAACTGAACAGTCACAACAATAAATCCATGAAGCTAATAATTCATTTAATTAACATTAAAATGAAAATCACTTTAAACCTACAAATAGTACTTATAGTACCTAATACTTACTGCATGATTCTCTCCCTTGAATGCTGTTTCGAGACACGGTTATCATTCTATGCCTTAATAAAGTTGAATTATGAACAGGGTGTGGAGTTTACTCAAAACTCAAATTCAAACTCATTTTCCAATGAGTTTTGAAATGAATTTGAGTTGAAATTCCGTTACAAAATGAGTTTGAAAATGAATTTGAATTTAACTCATTTTTGAAAATGAGTTTTTTTTGAGTTTGAGTTTAAACTCAAATTCTTTTTTCAACTCCTTTTGAAAAATGAGTTTAAACTCAAAATCAAAAAAAAAAACTCATTTTCAAAAATGAGTTAAATTCAAATTCATTTTCAAACTCATTTTGTAACGGAATTTCAACTCAAATTCATTTTTTGAATTTTTAATTGTGAGTTAACTCATGAAATTCTCCCCACCCTAATAATGAATTAACAATAAAACGAAAAACTTTAATTAAAGTTTTTAACCACACTGTTTTTCTGATAATTCCATCCAATAATGAAGCTGTAACAGTAATTAAAATTGTGAAGCTCAGGAACCATTGAAAGCTGTTATAATGATTTGATTCTAGCTCATTACTGTTGGGTTTCATTCATGAAAATATGCTTTGCATTCAACAATACCACAATCAAGTGCATTTCATAATTATTTTCAACTGATTTACAGTATTCACGGTCGTTTTAGATCCCATCAATACCTTATTCTATTCTCACCACATTTCAATTTGTATGGACATCATTGTTGATGTAATATTTGCATGAATCTATGAATCTATTGATTATGAAGTGCCTGCAGCTATGTTGTTATATAGAATTTTGTGGTTAAGTATGTACCACGTAATTTTCTATATCCGTAAATGATGATAGAATTTATTCATTTAGACAATGAACTGATGTCGAGTTTGATATAAATTTTATTGATTGTAAAATTGACATGTGTGTGCATCTGATGTGATACAGACGATGTTGGTTTAAGAAATTTGCTGGATAATGGATGAACATATACTTCAGGCAAATAAGAATGAAAATTGAGATCAATTATTGGGAAGATAATTTTAGTTCCAATAAATGGTTAGTTGTTGATTGGTCAAACACATTAGAAGGACTTAAAATTGATTTAAATTTTTGAAAATGTTTTATTAAACATCCAGGCCCTTGAGTTATAAGATTAGACAATAGAGAGTATAATTATAGATTATAGAGTGATGCACAGTCATCAATTTTGTATAGTTCAGTAGGTGCATATAATTGATTATGCTTAATTGTATAATTCTTAGTTTTTGTCTAGATTAATCTAGTTCATTTGAATTTTTACAATTCTTTCTTTAAGTTCCTAGAAAAAGTAAAATAGTAAATTCCTGAAATATTTTTAATGGTGTCAGCTTGATGAGAACTTATTCATAACAATGAAAACTTATAGAGCAAAATTGTTACAAACTGTTCCACAATAGTTTACACATCTATTGATAAAGATAGATTTATTGCCAACATTAGACGTTCTCCAACACCCAATAGAATTGAATAATCATTTCCATTGACCTGTAAAAAAGTAATGAACAAGCAAAATTTTCCGAGTACATGCAAAACATTATTGACTTACTGAATGTATTCATGCATGATGTTAACAACACATGTAACTTGTTTATTGCATCACTGTTGCAAATCAAAAATTTTTGTAGCTGTAAATTAACTTACTACTGGTGTTATCAACAGCATGAACAAATGTCTAGCTAATGAAATACATCAATTATTAGATTTTTTGACATGTTATAATTTGGAACTTGTAGTTTCTTGTTACATTCACACCGTTTTCACGTGTGAATCTATTGGTTTTGTTCAGATTGAAAAATCAGTTTTTCGCATTTTGTGAGAAAACAAAGCAAAATTGGTTATAAAAGGGCAAGAAGAAAAGTTTGTGCCTGAAATTTTACATCATTTTCAAAAAACAGATTTCAAATTGGTTGTGGCATTGCTGAGAAAATCGCAAAATACGCTTTCTGTAAGCAAACAAGCAAGCAAGCAAGTTAATCAGCAAGAAATCTCAATAACGAGACATTGTAGAGACTTCTAGTTTTTTACATTTGATCCGTGCTGCTCTATAAAAGAGCTGTATTGTTTTTGGGCAAGGTAGGAACAGCCGTTGCTTCACAAAAAGCAAAAAACTTTCCTTTCTTACAAATTTTTCAAATTAAAAGTTCACTGTGATTTTTTTTTATTTTAAATTAAACTTTGGATGAAAAAAATTTTTTTGGGCAAAGAACCAAGAAGGAAATCCATTTTCAATTTTGGACTAGGGGCGACCCTAGAAAAAATCAATTTTTTCACTTTTTTTCTTCGAGGGTTTATCCAAATGGATTGAAAGTTTGCATAAATATTCTAGTGCTTAAAACAAATACAAATAAAGCATCTTAAAATTTTTTTAAGCAAAGAACCAAGAAGGAAATCCATTTTCAATTTTGGACTAGGGGCGACCCTAGAAAAAATCAATTTTTTCACTGTTTTTCTTCGAGGGTTTATCCAAATGGATTGAAAGTTTGCATAAATATTCTAGTGCTTAAAACAAATACAAACAAAGCATCTTAAAATTTTTTTAAGCAAAGAACCAAGAAGGAAATCCATTTTCAATTTTGGACTAGGGGCGACCCTAGTCAAAATCAATTTTTTCACTTTTTTTCTTCGAGGGTTTATCCAAATGGATTGAAAATTTGCATAAATATTCTAGTGCTTAAAACAAATACAAATAAAGCATCTTAAAATTTTTTTAAGCAAAGAACCAAGAAGGAAATACATTTTCAATTTTGGACTAGGGGCGACCCTAGTCAAAATCTAGTTTTTCACTTTTTTTCTTCGAACGTTTATCCAATTACAGTGAAACTTTGTGTGAGTATACTAATATTTATACAAAACAGTTTTAAATATCTAAAGCAAGAAATGTATTCTATATGTCGTCAGACCCAAATTTTATAAATTTGGTTGAACATTCAAAAACAACGTGACTTAAATTTTTGTCCAAAAATGATTTTTATTAATTCAGAAATGTGTGACCTTAAGATTAGAATGTTCATACAAAGTTTTACTGTATTTGGATTTATCCTTGAAGAAAAAAGTGAAAAACTAGAATTTGACTGGACCTGTCCCAAGTTCATAATTGAAAATGTATTTCCTACTTGGTTCTTTGGTCAAAAAAATTTTTTGGATGTTTTATTTATATTTGTTCTAAGCACTAGAATATTTATGCAAAGTTTCAATCCATTTGGATAAACCCTCGAAGAAAAAAGTGACAAAATTGATTTTGACTAGGGTCGCCCCTAGTCCAAAATTGAAAATTGATTTTCTATGGTGTACTTTGGTTAAAAAAACTTTTTGTATGTTTTATTTGAATTGACATATTTCTGACATAAATCACATACCAATATTACTTTTTGTAATGCATAGCTTAAAAAAAACCGAAATCTAAAATTTCGACTACCACATTTGATTTTTGTTCATACTCTTCACTGTGGAAACCAAAAAACAAATTCTTTATCTTAAAACGCTTGACAAAATAGCGACATAATTCAGGATTAATTACTTTTTAATAATATTTTAACATTTACGAGAAAATGTGGTTCAAATAAGTTTGAGCTATACTGGTTCATAGTGTTCCCAAGGGTGACGAAATTCAAACTGAGTGTTTTTGTAGCTGACATAATTATGACATAAATTAGGTATATCTTTTGAACTGTATCGATATGGGTCTCGGCTGTACTTCACGCCTACCCTTCAAACTTATGCTGAGCAAATCTTGGTCTATCCATAAGACTTTTGATGGTACGGTGTGAATATATCCGCATTGGGTTTCTACCCGATACACTAGTTTGTTGCTGCTTTTATTTTGTGTGTGCTTCCTCAACTTTTGTAATCAGTATGTTTCGGACGGTATATGCTGTTGCAATGAAGATATGTCACTCATTTCGGGAAATATAGTCTCAAGATTTAGTTGTTCTCAATATGTTCACATTGAATTGTTGACAACTCAACAGCCAGTTTGCTTAAAACCTAATGCTACTAAGCATATTATCACTTACAAATTGAATCCCATCATTTAGTCTTTGCGACACTCCAAAAAAATGCGCTCTATTTACCAGAAAACAGCAACTCTAAAAGTAATAATTCCACTTATTCCCCCATTTCCTCTTATCTATGACTTCATAATAAACAAGATTTCAGTATTAATATCAGTATTGAAACTGAATAGAAACTTTAACAAGATTGAATCTGACAGAGTAAATGGAAATAACAAGAATGAGATATTGTAAGTTTTTGCGACTGTTGAGTAAAATTGACGCATTTCCCTCGAGTGAGTCATTAACGAACTGTGATTGTCTCGACTTATTAGA